ACAGGGCTGATTAATGCGGGGTCAGTGCTGAAATAGCCACCATCATGTGGCTTCTGGTTGACTAAGGGGACTGACAAAGCTGTTTGCAGGAAAAAAAATCTGCCTGGAAAAGTTTAAAAGGAGAGGCAAAAATATGGTAACCTATATGTGAACCCAGATATGCCATGCGGTGAACTCAAAATACATTCCAGGACTAAGGAGAGCTTGACTGGACCTTGTGAGCTCCTGGGGACAAACCTTGCTGCAGGTTTGAATGTCTGTTCTGTATCTTTACAGCAAACCAGGAAAGACCTGCCAGACTGTTTAGGTTAGCCCTGAGGTTTTTTTGCTCAACTGAACCTGGAACTCACAAGTTATCTCAGGGGATTTAATTAGCCACAGCCCTAAAATCAAAGGCCTTCCATCTAATCCTGCCTTGACCACTCTTGTAAAATTCAGTTACACTAATTATTTTTTTTAAAACTACTGAAAATGAGAACAATAGTCCTAACACAATGTCACTGAAGAACCACTCAGGTGCTGCAGAATAAATGCATCAGTGAGATCAAAAGCAAGCTCTAGGAATTAAAAAAAAAAAAAAGGACCTTGGCAAACGAGGGCCTGTAGTACATCACCATCCCTCTTTTTATGCTGAATCATACAATGGTTGCCTGAAAAATCTTATATACCTGTCCATAACCATGTCTCTCCAGATGAAAGGCTATTTCCAGAGGAAAAATATATGATCAGTCTGAGAAAAAGTTCTAAAATGTTCTTCTCATCAGCTTCCCTGAAAACTATGGCATTTCCTGTACTAAATCTCCATCCCTCTTTGAACTTTCCTCTCTGCTGGAGATAAACAACATGAAACAATGATGAGGTGTGAAGGGATCTCCAGCCTCCTCATCGTCTGACATAGCAGAAACTCAGCTTACAGTCACAAATCTGAGCTCCAGATCAGTGCATGCAGGTAGCTGTGGCTACATGTGGAAGCCAGTGTCCCAAATTTCCCAACATTCTTTCCCCGAAAGCCTCAGGCAGCTAAAGATCATGTGGAAAAGAGGGAGGCAGAGAGGCAGCTCCACAGACGCCACAATGCTCAGCTCTCCATTATCTGTGGGAGAAACTGTCTGGAGCAGGGAATGCCATTGGAGATGGACAATTACCTCTTCTAAAGATGCTAAGGACTGGGACATGGGGCAACTTTCAGAAGAAAGGGTGACCCTGCCAGTGCTGAGGCTCCAACCTTAAGAGCTGGTTGGAGTAGAAGAACTGGGCAAAAAGAACTGCTGTTCAGCTAAGGCCAGAGATGTGTTTGTATTTGCTTGCTTCTGATCTTTTCTTACAGCCCTGTAATTAGAAGACTGAGCTTAGAATATATTGAAATCATCCCTCACACAGATTTGTCTTCCAGCGTGTTTTCATTAAATTGGAACCTGGGCACTACTTAGCCAGGTTGAGGTGTGTCTTTGCAGAAGCAGCAAGGCTTCATCAGCAAACTTCGTCTTGTAACTTGGGTAGGGACAGCATTCGCTCCAGGGCCAGTGTGGGGAGGACGGGCTTCGCTAACTGCTTGGTTTTCAGGAGCACTCAACATAAGCCAGCACACTTTTCTGCCGAGCACACCCTTCTCCCAGGAGAAGCCCCTCATAGCTGGGGGGAAAACCTCCCCTTTGATGCAAACACCCTCAATTTATCAATGGCAGAGGGTTACAGTTGGCCCCAGATCCACTCAGAGACTTGTGGATGTGTGATTAAGAAGAGTTATTGGATCTCTCCCAGTATTGTTTATCAAAAGACTGAGCCTTGGGAGCTCAGCTGTATTTATGCAGCAGCCAAGGGAAGCAGTGTTCTCACTTGCCCAGGCAAGCAAGGAAACAACCATGGAGGAAAAGGTCCTTCGCATACTTGTGCAGATTGAGTTAAAGTTTCTCATACAAACTTCCACGAAGCTGCCAATTGTTCTTGGAAGATAGGACATTGCTCTGATTTCATGGTTTCACAGCTGAGTAGGAGGTTACTGATGACTTTCTAAAGGAATTCATTCTCAAACACTTTTCCACTTCCTGCAGTTCTAACAGCTCGTCTCATAAAAGCCTTGAGTCTCATTTCCCCTTTTATCCTTACTTCCCTTGGACCTTGACACTTTCATGTCCACACTACCAATAGGACATTGAACAGGTGTTCTCTCCCTATGCCTTTCATGCAATGCTGAATACAAGGGGCTGAGTCCCAACCCCTGGATCCAGAGTTTAATCCAGAATGGCAAATACAGGTGGGGGGTGAATATTATTTTCTGTTCCTTTGTTTGGAGGAGGGGTGTGGGTGTGGTGTTTGTTTGTTGTTGCTGTGTAGGTTATTTTTCTTTATCAAATAGGAAAAGTGCTATATTTGGCCAAGATATTGTCATTGGCCAAGAATCACAAAGAAGGAGTCTAAGCATAGTCTTGGCAACCCAAACCCCACCACTGCCATCTTTGTACGAGGCAGTGTGATGAAGCAGCAACCTGGATTTCTGATGATCAGATTGTGCTCTATTGACAGAATCTGAAATTAGACCTTCCTGGTCAAGCTCAGACATATGGCAAATCGAACTGGAAAATTCATCTTGTTGATAGATCCTCATAAAACTACTTGACTCTTTAAAACTGATAGAAGAGAGAAACAATATGCATATGAAAACATAACCTCCTGTACATCTGCACCAGGGTGTGGAACTCGGGACAGAGCCCACTTTGTGCAAATGGACCAACAGGAACGTTTGAATGAAGAGAATAAACCATACTGACAGTTTGCAGGTTTAGTACAAAGAAATGCAACAAAACATTTAACTAAACTTAGGCAGGAAAAAGGTCTTATGGTCCACTGTTGGGAAAATTACCATGTTACCCTATGACAGGTGCTTTTTGAGGTCAGACAGCACACCCAGAAAGGAATAGTGAAATGGATTCTTAATAACAAGTGAAAAGGAAACTCATCCATCAACATCCATATTTCTGTAATAAATCAGTTTTTAAATGTAACTTGTCTAAATAACCAAGTGATTGATGACCACACTTTATGCAGAAGAAGAATTAACCATTCAGACTACCTATGCTGCCAGTTTTAATCCTGCTCTTTGTTAATATTTTGTATTTATCACAAATTTGTATTGCTTGTAGAGAATACTAAGTTTTTTGAGCCATTTTTTTCAAGGGGATCCCAGTCTTTGTCACTGTGGGGTGGCACACAATCCATCTGCACTGAACAGTATGTACATACAAAACTGGCCCACACTCCATTTTGTTTGTGTACTTGGAATTGCACACGTTCAGCCTCAAATACACAGTAATCACAGATGACATAGATGAGATGATCATGTCTATGCTGAATTAAGTCTGCTTGAGACACATCTTATGCAAAAAATGTGAGCAGGTAAATTCTAAAATCTGTGTGATTGAAAGTCATTCTTGGGAATAAAACAGATATCTAAACTTTTCGTTTAAATATTTTTTCTACAACCATGCACAGGGCTTTTCCATCTATTGGTAGTGCCATTTCCCTCAGAAAACAAAAATGTTCTTAACCACAGTAGAAACATTTCTTTCTAGTTGTCCCGTCCTAGGTAAAGTTACATTATTGATATCACTTCCAATCTTTCTATTGTGTAAAAAAATCCTCAGTGACTCCTTAAAACCAAGGACTCCATGTGTGTGTCAGCTCTATTCTCCAAGAAAAATCTCCAAGACATGATGGAGTAAGGAGCCCGACCTACAGAACAGAAGGTAGCATGAAGTATGCAAACTGGAACTTCAGGATAGACCACTTCAGAATTACAGTTTTTCCCAGGTTTGAGTCTTCCCTGAGTCAGGTCAAGCAGAAATTTCAACACTCTCATATCTCCACCGAAGTATCTTGGCTTCAAGGTCATTTTGGCTACACAAACTATAATTCTCCTTTACTAAACAAAAAACTCTGGGGTTTGGGGTTTTATTTTGTTGTGGGTTTTTTGTGTGCATGTGTGCTCCAAACTGCAACAGAAACAGGTCTCAAAACTTCAGAATTTCCCCCAAACTGGTAGGTCAACGTTCTTCTGAGAAATATCTTCATAGAGAGTGTACAGGATTTTCCTGGCCAACTGTACACCTAAAGTAGCCAGCTGAAATATGCCTGAAGGAAGAGAGAGAAACATATCTTCAAAGACTCTGTTTGCCTCCACTGACGACAGAAATACATTTTTTTAAAACTCTCTGCTAAATGATTGTGCCAGGCTATTCTCATTTTGTATTAATCACTGTTAAAAATATGAAGCAAAGAGTGGGGTTTGAGATTTTCAGTGTGTTTGTGTATAGAAGCACAGCCAAAAAATCAACAGAAGCAGGATATTTAGTATGGTACTTTCAGTTCTCCTACAGCAGGGGACACACATTAATCTGAAAATAACATGACACCTCCTTCTCTGAGTGGATCCTTGAGATTTCGTAATAAGCACCACAAGCAGCTCCAGGTGCTGTCTCCACACTGGCCCTGAGGGAGTCTCTACCAGCTTTGCCATAAATCAGATGTGACCTTCCTACATCTGTAAAATCAAATCAGAATATCACATTACATTTGCTGGATAGAGAAAATTAATCTTTACTTGGTTTTTGGATTTTTTTTTAACTAGGTTCAGTCATCTATCAACTATTTGGGATCTAGGAGCAGAGACGCTCCTAAATGTGTCTAGGTGCAATTCCTGCTTTCATGTATAATGCTGTAATACTGAAGCAATTCCTTTGCCTTCAGAGTAGCACTTTTTTTTTTTATAGCAAACAACACTGAGAAGAATTCAGCCCTTGGTCTACATCTGTGTTACTGAGATGTTAGTTTTCAAGGGAAAAGCACCTCAACTGCGTTCTCACAGGACAGTCCCCAACAGTGGAAAAGCTTTAGGACAGATATATGTAAAAGTCAGCAACAGTGGACAACTGGGTAAGCAGCACAGCTGAACCTCCGATGCCGTTTCTCTTTCATGCATTCAAAGTAAGTCTGAAAAATCATCATTTATTATTAATTAACAAGTTTATTTTTGATTCAAAGAACAGAATTTCACAGTTACAGCTGCTAAAAAATCTTTCGTATCTGCAGCTTCTTTCATTCCTCCCAAGCTCCTTCATTGCGCACCCTTAACGTGGCTTCCTGTGCTCTGTGCAGTGGTGCTGAGGCTGGCTTGCCAATCCTCACTGCTCCATGTTGACTCTAATATTCCTGGAGATGCTGCTTTTACAAGGCTCTGGAGAATTTTCTGCAGATGGGCTGTGCGAGCAACAGCGAGACTTCAGTGAGCTGGGAGTTGAACCTCTTGGTGACTGCAGAGTCTGACACCTCAGTGAACGCCAGGGTGATGAAATGGAGAACGAAGATGCTAGGAGAGAACAAGTACTCTTTAGTGAGAGAACACACCGACCCACCATGAGCTGGGATATTACAGTTCAAACACCCTCTGAAATTTATCATGCAACAAATAACTCCACAACTACATTAACAGCATAGCAGTTCTGTAAAGGTGCTCTTCACTACTTTCCATTCTGCTTTCATTCCCATGAGTTCAAACCAGTCTGCTTTTCAGGTATTTTTAAGTATTCTCGTTTTCTTGTAGATGACGTTATTCATAGGCCAGCCTTTGTTCTTACTCTTCCTCTTCTGGCAACAGGGCCAGGCTACGTGGACTTTTGTCTGTCCAGTACAACCATGCTTATCTTCTCTGGTTTTCATTTGCGTCACTGAAAACTCACTTTTTATAGTCATATTAAATGACTAAAAATTACACCAACTACCAGGCACCCTCCTGGCACAGAACAATAACAATCATAACCAGACGAAAGAGAATAAAATAGGAAGAAAACGAAGTAAAACTAAAGTGTTTACTCTCTTCTGCTTCATATATTTCTTTAGGGTTTTTTTGTTTGTTTGTTTGTTTGTTTTGGGGGGTTTTTTGTTTGTTTTTTGTTTTTTGTTTTTCAATGATTGTATAAGAAACACTTGTGCAGTAGAAAACAAAATGGTGGGAGGCATCTGAAGAATAAAGATACATGGTGAGCATGGTGGGGAAGCAACAGCACAGACTGAGTACATAAAGAGTACAAGATCTGGGAGTGACAGTCATCCATAGCTACCACTGAAACTCTGAAGCTGTGGGTTAAAAATCAAGTGTGCCTTTGAAAATTGTCTTATACATGCACACTGTCAGCACTTAGACACACAAAAGGAGCATTCTGACTCTTCTTCAGCACTCTAAGAGACAGGAATTTGGAGTTCACCTGTGTGAAAGTCAGGAAATTTCTTGACTCTATCCTGTCTGTCTGCAGTAAAAAAACATTGCCAGACTGATATACTGGAAGGTATCATGGCTATACTGTGTCTCTGAGTAAAATGAAAGATGCTGTTCCCCACCACATATGATTCACAAACTGTTTATTTTCTTTAGCTGGTGCACATGCGCTCTGTGTATCTTCACAAGATGTTGAAATAACCCATTCTGGTCTTGCTCACAGGATCTGGACTGAACTGCCCCTCCTCTCTGCCTTCAGATACCCCAACACATGCCTTCTACACCAACGACACTTTCTTTCCTTGCTTGTCTCCATGTCTCATTCTTTACAGGGGAAGAAACAGAAAGTTTAGCAGCCTTTCCATTAGCTGGCAATGCTGAGAGGAGAGAGTGGTTCCATCCAAGCTTACCAAACAAAAGAGACAAGCAAAAGCTAAATCTGGAAGGTGCTGGGGAGCCCTTAACCACACACAGCTGCAGTAGGGAACAGATGCAAGCATAGATGAATTGACATCAACTGCTTATTAAACAACTCACGGCCAACAGATGGGAACACTGCTTTATTATGATAGCCTTCTCCAAATGCTGAATGCACTAGTTTGGAAAATGAGACTGGAAAATAAGTGGGTGCTAAAAATGTGAAATCCTACTGTGGGAAATCCAGCCAATCCACTAGACTGCCAGATGCCACAGCTGTTACACTCTTGAACCCAATTCATAGGAACTACATTTGCCACATAAAAGGATAGAAAATGTGCATTTTCAGAGGTCTCCCAACTACTCCATTTTACCAGTTATAGTAATTATCAGCAAAATTGCTTCAAGCCACATCTCATTATAAATGAAAAAGGAGATTTTGTCTCTGTTAGCTATTATTTGCTAATGCATCAGGCAATGCAGTCTATTATAAGTATCATACCTGTCCATCACTCCAAATTTTTTTCTGATTTATTTTTTTTACTAGATACAGATTTAGAAAATTGACAGGGAAATCACGTGTAATGAACATTGATTTTAGAGGTCATGTTCGTTATAGAACAGAGAAAAGACTAGAAAGACAGGGAAAAGAATTTGTCTATAGAAAGAGATACATTATTTTTAAAGTATCTATACAAACAATTATTGCAATAACCAAGGACAGAGTTAAGTATCAATGATCTTGCTCCACCAAACAGTATTACTTGAGCTACCTAGACAAAGAATCATTAGCCCACTAACAGTCAGCAGAAATTTGCCAGGCCTTCATTCGCTCTCTTATAAACTTACAGAGCTAACTAACACAGTAAGAGAGGCAAGCATACACATCAAAATAAAAAAGTTTCAAATACAATAGTTCTGGGAGAAATAAGACAAAATTACACTTGAAGACAATGATGAAGCTAATATACACTAAATAACTAACAAAATTACTTAATCTTTATTCACTTCCATTACTGTTGTTTGCCTCTGTGGGAACAATAGAAATGGGTTGTTGATTCCTCTCAACTATCAGAAATACTTTACCTGAACACAAATCAAAACACAAACATTCCAAAATTCTCCCTGAATTCATACAGGTCAGCTATGTGTGGAAATACAAGGGTTTATGTAAATAAATGGCTTCATCAACCACCTATATAAGAGTTATGTAGCTGAATCCACATTATCTTGGAGACCACAAAAATTAACCTCCATATCTGGCAACACTCCTTCAAGTTCAGAGGAGCTTACTTCCTGATGTAACAGCTGAATGTACACATGAAGTCAGCAGAACTGTAGGAAGAAGTGTTGATTAACACACTGAGCAGTTACAAAACATAGCTCAATAAGACTATTAAATATATATATAGATATATGGATCTGGACATAAGGAGTGACAAGACAAACCTTTGGAAAGAAAATGCAAGAAATACTGATGGCATTGAAGGCTTTTAATGCATTACACACATAGCGAAAACTTGTGTATAAATATGAATAAAATGCCTTTACTTTAGGCAAACAGGTCAGGACTATTGATCTATTTCAAAAGTTAAAAGATATCCAAATTATTTGTGTAGTTAAGAGGAAAAGAACATGTGGAAGTTCCCAGTTTAACAGACTGTCTTGGAAATCTCAAAAAGTCCAAGTGTAACCTAGTTACCATACAACATATTTAGCTACCAAATTTATTACTGCAGATATTAGAGACATTTCTCTGAGATGCTGACTCTATTTTTTAAAAGTCTGCCTTTGTTATAAACAATCAAGAAATAATGAAGTATTGAAAGCAACTAGTAGAAAAACCTGGAAAGGGATCACACTGATGAACATTGGTGTGTCAGGCATATGAAGGGCAACTACTTTTGCTATTTAGGCTCCTGACATGAATATCCAGCCTTATTTCAACATAATGAAAACTCCATGAAGGGAAAGTCCCATGCTAGATGCCTGATATTTTTAATAACTGGTCCACAGAGACTAACTGAATAATTCATTAGACCAGCACAGCTTTCCAGCTCCTCAGCCATGTTATTTAACACTTACATCATTTTAATTAAATATGACTACTACTATGAAAAGTGTTAACCTGTATAGGTGAATCTCACGGATCTGGTGATCAACATATATTGAACTGCCAAGCATAAACCTGAGCTAATAGTTCATACTAGACTGAACCTTGGGAAGAAGGAAAAAACAGTGCCAGGCAAAATTGTTTTCTTTATTCTCTTCACTCTTTAAAATGAAATCCAGTATTAACACAGTTAAACTAGATGTGTATATCAGAAGTCAAGTAACCCATTTGATATAATTTACAAAATTATATACACAAAAGGCTGTGAAACATTAACATGGTACAAAAATGGGTAAATATCTACACCTGAAGAGAATAAATACACAGGCATGTACAGAGATTGAATATTGAGGTATCTAATGAAATCCTGTGAAAATGACCATATAGTGTTACTGAACATCTTCATCAATTTACTGACTTTTCCCCTTCTGACAAAATCCAGAAGTATATGTAAATTAAAATATATCTAAATTTTAAAAAAAAAGCCGTATTCAATATTCATGGAGTCATAGGAAGAAGACAGGGTACCCTGTCTAGCATGTTCGACTTGCATAGCACCTTGAAGTCTTGTTAGAGTACTATGAAATTATTTGCTAAGTCTAGGCAGGATTAAAATGCACAGATAACCACTGCTCTTGTTTAATCTTTCCTTCAAGCTTCATGCAATCAGTTACAAGACTAGCTGATCAAATTAGCATCATTTCACATTTGCTCAGTAAATGTGCATCTCAAGATGTCCAAGAGGAAGGCCTCTGTGATAACTGAGCATTTCCAGTGAAGCAGCTTGTGGAGCCGTCATCTCTCGCACAGATACCAGCACCCCTGTTCTGACCAGGCCACTCCTAAAACGCCTGTTATATAATGGGCACCATAATAGCCATTATAAGCAATGTAAATGGAATTTGCAGACAGTCTTTAAAAGATGAGTGAGGACATAGAAGGAAAATTCAGAGGAGCCAAATCAAGTTGATTGACAACATTATGATTGAGTGAATGTAATAATCTACTACTTCTGGAGGTAAATAAATAATGAGGATGTTGAGAACACGTTTAAAATGGTACAAGGAGACACACCTAGCAAGTATGGATAGAAGTCCTCTTATCTTTCCACTGATAGTGGGACCTTTAAAATGAAGAGCTGACTGGCAGACCTACACTAGTCCAGGGCTCCGCTGCAGTGTGACAGGGAGTACAGATACCAATATCAGCTTTAACTGAGCTAGCTCATACACTAAAATCAATTTACCCTCTGAGCTACAGATGCAATCATTTAGTATTTGTAATACAGATATTAACACATAACACAAGTAACAAACAGTAGAGGGACTGGAATACATACTCAGCTTATAAGCAGGTACTAAGGTTGGTGTTACTGCATCTTCACTGCTACTGCAACTGTTAGGGAAATTATGGTAGCATATGCTGGAACATACTTAAGTCATTTATTGCCTTTGCTGTGAAAACACATGCTGAGAAAGTGTCAAGAGCAGTTTCCAAAGGAGATGGAAGAATTTAATCACATAGGACATGTGAAAGCAAACTCGGATAACACCTAGAAATGCAGAAAACTAGTTCCTTGTGTGGGGAATAACTCATCAGAACTTTTTAATTCCTAACATTTATAATTTTCCAGAACTACTTCTTTACCTCCAAATTCTTCTTTATTGCTAGACTGTGAATTTCTTCCTCTCTGTTTTACTTCACTTCTGGAGACAAACATAAGATCGTCAAAGTCTGACATCTTCTCGCTGGGATATCTTTTGTCTACTGCTCTCCTCTTCTTTTTCTTTTCCCCCCTCTTTTCTTCCACAGTACTTTTCTTTGCTTCTTCTCGTCTTACATCTTCCAGAGGTGAAAAAGGATAGGGCTTTGTGGTCTCGCTGTCCAGGCTAGAAAACCACACAAGGAAGTTTGCAAAGCTAAAAGCGCACATATTGTAATATCTTAAATCCTTTTTACAAGACATAGATTTCACCTTTTTTCTACATCTCACAGTACTAACAAGAGAATGACTTACCACACTCTTGACCATTTCATAGGGCTGTAAATGTCTTACAATTCAGTTTCTCTTTTACTTATAAAATATGTATACAATAGCCTAAAACAGGGCTCTGGGCCCTAATTCTACCTACCTCTGATGACTCCAGAAAGGATTCGGGCAATAATGCTCTTTTATGGTGTCAGTCCGGATCACACAGTGTTTTACTTTGCATTTGGAACTTGTTAGCTACATTTGCAGAGTGCTTGCTCTGCCACAATTATTTCTTTCTACTGTGATGGCAGGCACACCCCAAATAGACAGTAAAGTCCAATACTAAAATGCTGAGAGCTATATTGGTACCTCTAAAGATTCATGAATTAAGCATGACACCTAGTACACACCACAGGAACATCAAAAGACAATCCCAAAGAACTCAGAGCTGGAGTTAGACAAGCTATTTTAATATGTCTGTGTGCACTGGGAGCCTGGGCGATGCATTTTAATTTTTTCCCCCCTTAGGACTACAGGACTTAGTACAAAAAGATTGTCTCTTTTTGAGCTTCTAATGTCATACTGCATTCAAACTTTTTGATTCCTTTCCAATTAAATTATGCTTCCTCTTTGTTTCTATCAACATCATCATGTTCTCATTAGATTTGTGCACACCCATAAGCAATATGCTGCACTGTTGCCCTCTAAGTATGACAGAGGAGGTAGGGATCTATTTTAGAATATAATAAATAGCAAGTTTTGTTAGAAAGCACACTTCGCTGCTCTCTTCAAAAGTAGGTGCTTTAATGGAAACTCCATTTAGTGCATTCATTTCAGTCAATTCTCCAAAGAATTCCTCTGTTTGCCAGTGAATAACTCAATGTTCTCATCATTTGTACATAACAATGGCAAGTCAGCTTGCTAATAAATTCTGTTTGGAGAGTGAATATTAAATTTTATATTAAAGCACTCAGTCATGAAACAAAGCATGTAGAATGGAAGCTATTCTTATTGCTTATGTGCTTAGTCACATCTTTTCTTAATATGGTACCTCATTTAGAATATAATCCAACTCAGTAGAAGGGAAAGACTTCTACTCATTTTGCTGGAACTCAGATCAGTTATTTACCTGCCTCTTGTCAACTGGTTGTATGCACTAAGTAGGGAACCATGTTCTTCAGGTTTACTTTTTAGTGAAAAGAGGCTACCACCATGTCAGTGATCTGGCCTGGGAAAAAGCACTGAAGTATTTCCAGACTTGGAATTCTGCTCAGTAATGGGTGGGCATTCGTTTGTGTGCTGTGGGTCCAAGCTGGTGGAAGTTTCAAACTGTACTGGAACCACTACTACAAAATATGTGGGAAACAGGACTTGAATCTTAGTTGCTTTTTGTTCCATCATTCTCAGGGAATTCATAGATCAGCCCACAACTGGTACCCTCGCCCATAATTTTTAGATGTAATCTTTAATAATGATAATCATATTAGAACAATGAAAATAAAGAACATCTGCGGGTGACTGAGCACTGGAACAGGCTGCCCAGAGAGGTTGTGGAGTCTCCCTCAATGGAGATATTCAAGAAGCACCTCGATGCAATCCTGTGCCATGTGCTCTAGGACAACCCTGCTTCAGCAGGGAGGTTGGACCAGATGAAGCTCTGTGGTCCTTTCCAACCTTACCCATTCTGTGATTCAGTGATCTAAAATCGCCTTTAATGGTGTAATTTGTCCTGTTCATGCCTCCTCTTGGGAATAAACCTCCCATAATGGAGATTATACAGTTCTTTGGCAGCAGTGCTCATACTACACTGACATACATGGAAGAGGAAATCCGTCATCCTGTGGGATGTCAAGGCAGGTGGAAGATTCAAAACAAAACTATGTTTTCTCACACAAAATGTGAAACTGTGCAGCTTAGAAACAACTTGCAATTTAATGTGCAGCTTTATATCACAATAATTATCTTAAAAGGAAAATAAAGCCTACAACAAATAGAAACTCCATCTCACCTTCCAGCAATGCTCTTAACAACTTCCTGAGACTTAGCTTCAAACCATCCCATCCCACCAGTGTTTTCAGAATGAAAATTGGGCAATAAACTGTCAGATAAACTTAGTTGCATGTGTGGAGTAAGACAGATCAGAACAACTGTAGTTAGAGTACTACATACAGAAATCTGACAGCATAGCTGAATTCAAAGTGCCACATTTAGGATTCATATAAAAAACTTTTATATTTCTAGGTTCAAACATACTCACATCTCATAACCCACCATCTGCACCGTTCTTATGTACTGACAGGAATAGGCATACTTTGTTTGGCTGATTTTAATAAGCTCACTTCTTACACAGTGTTCCTGTAATAACACAATCAACATGCATCTAATTTAAATCTGAATCTCAAAAACGATGAAGATACATATGTATAAAAAGTCAACTGTTTTAATATAACTGTAATCAGCCTTTAATAAAGATAATTAAAAGTTTCAAGTACAAAATACATTTTCTTAATACGCTCTATGAAAAATGCAGTAAACTTATCATAATGGCTAACAAACAAAAAACCAAACCAACAAGCATAATTAAATTAATTTCAGACTATACCGACTGTGATAAAATTCCCAGTGTTTCCCATTTTAGCAGCATGGAACTTATGAAAGCCATCAAATAGACTACAGAAGAAAGAACAGAGTATGATTTAAGAATAAATTATCCTCCAGAGTTTCTTGATTCAGGTCTATTACATGAGCTCTTCACTGAGCTCTGGAATTTGCTTTACTTTGGTTAGCTGGAGACAGGGAATGAGATAGTGAGCTGATTAGCATGGAAAATTCTAGACACCTCTTCTAAAACAGAATAATGGTAAAATTATTGCCAGACAGGTATAGGTTTACTCATCCTCTAGGTTTACTTACCTCCCTGTTGTTGAACATCAGTACTGTGTAGAGTTTGTTACCTGTTTCCACCCTCTCTGGTGTCGCAATGACAATGGCAGGTACGTAACATTCATTTCCTGCCTGTGTCCCAGTTCTGGCTAACACGTAATCTCCAACCTGCACATCAGCAAAGCACCAATGCAAGAACCGCATAACTTGTGAGTTTTACAGGACATAAAAGGTAAATACTAAGATATTTTTACATAAATCATCATTCTATCATGTTCCCGTGCTTTAATATAGACCTTCGAAAGAAAAGAACTTGGTCCTTGCATGTATTGGTCACACAATTGCCACTGAATCAAGGAGAGAGCACAAAACAAAAATAAAGGAGAGAGCCCTAATAAAGGTGTCTGGCCTCAGCTAGTAAGTCGAACTGAATGAGGAAACTCTTGCAACTGTGCATTCCCTTGGACTTTATGCAAATTTTTATGTTTTCAATAAGCTTTTAAACCAACCTTGGGAATTTCAGGTAATTCCATACGTAACTGACTTATCCAAAATTGTTTTAAAACTTAACACACAAGTCACAAATTTCCATCAAAATCTGCAGATGTCTAGAGTTGGAACTTCCCCTTACAGACTACCAGAACCAGTATCAGAATTTATCTTCATTTCCAACAGGAAAAAAACCTCCAAAGTCATGAATCTAGTTTTAAGTATAACAAAGCAATTATAAAAACGTTTCTTGCATTCAAAATAGCCATATCCATTCGGTATCTTTTCTGTATCTATTCTCTCTCTTGGACATAAAATAAGAATCACCTGAAAAAGCAACTGTGATTACAGATAGTTAGCTGATAAATTTTAAATAAAACCAGAAATGGAATATGAAATTTTTTTATTATTATTTATTTGCTTTATTATATAGTTATTTGCAGGATTTTAAGACATGCTCTGAAAAACAAATGATTAAAACTTGCTGCACATCACACTATGTATAAAAGCCTCTCTCTGATTTATAATCTATGTGCTAGGAAACAACAATTCTGCTAATAAATAGCTCACCTTTCTTCTATAGCTGGAGAAATATTCATATTTTAAAAAGAAAACAATATAAAATAATTAAGAATGTAGAATTTTAATAAAAAAATAAATAGGATTACAACAAAAACAAGCTTCAAACAAATGAAAAACAGCATGTTGAAAACAGCGATTTGAAAGATTAAAAAAATCTATCCTTTACTTTAGGCCTGGCCAAATAAACAAAATTAAAAATACCTATTTGTTGTCATTAAAAAAAAAATCAATTTTTCACCTGCAGATGTGGACATGGCATAGCACCTCCCACAGGTATAGTGAACTTCACAGGTACATCCCAGCTCTCCCCATTGCTGAAGTCAACAAGTGCACAGGTAGAACTGACATTCTTTATCACAGTTCCTAAAAAACAACATAACAAAATATTCAAATTATTTTTCTTTCACCCCTTGTGGAGATTTTTTTTTTTTTTAAATCCTAAAGGCTGTCACATATCACTGAGGTCAAACGTCTATAGGATACATTCTTCACTCTCATTTAGCAAGGGTAAGCTGTGCCAGGGCACTGGAGAAATTTGTACCTAAAAATACTTCCCATCTTACTAGCTATTATTAATAAGTGCTGTAAAAATAAAATTAAGAGTCTTTTTCAAGCATGGGTCTGAAATTTGTAAGCTGATCAGGTGGATGATAGTTGGCATAATGAAACTATTTCCACAGTTAGAAATATGTGATTGAAAAAAACCCAAAATAAGTAAAGGTAACACAAAAATAAATACACAAATTATTTTTCTTAAGAAATTACAGAACGCAGTTTTACTTACTAATTCATGCTTAAAATTCAATAAAAGGTCAGCAGCATTTAGTGAATTTTTTGAACACATGCAAAAGCTTGGCTTTTGCCAAATGATCAACAGAAATATTCAAGGGAGACAGCAAATAGGGATAGTTGATACTCTTGGGTAGTCAGTTACTCAAAAGGATTTCCTTACATACTCTTCATATACAATTCTATCATTGCTTTCTAACTTTACAAAATGTATGTCTTCTTAGAAATGTATATATGTGCTCATACAACATATATATTCATTTTGCATGAATATACACATGCAATACGAAATATCATTAAGAAAGAAGCAGCTAATGATGACCAAAAGTTATGTTTTATCAGCATTAGGAAACACTAAACAATATTGAAAATGTGGCCAAAATACATACCTGGATAATAAAATCCTGTCACATCTGATCTTGCAATTACTTTTTGGCTTTTGTGAGTCACAAATACTTGCCATTTTTGTCCCATCTTAGACTTTGACTTCACAGTTGCTTCTTCATGTCTCTGTAATTTGATACAATTATTTTGACCACAACAGTTAATGCAGTCAGCCCTAATCTATTCTTTGAAATTAATTAAAAATTTAGGCAATGTAATGCTATAACCTCCGGAGAAAATACACAGTAAACTATAGTTATTTCAAACTTTCAGAATAATTATAAGTACAGTAAATATTCATGGATAAGTTCATCTAAGACTTTTAACTATAAAATCCTGTTCTACATGGTCATAACAATACCTATATTTTCATGTGTTCAAGCAGAAATTTACCTTAATGAATTATAGTTCTGGCTACCATTTTCCTAAAAAAATTTTACAAAGTTGCACAATTCATACTCAAGGATGAGGTAAACAAAAATCAGCTTTATTCAGAATAGATAATTTGCTCTATAGATTCATTTTGTCCAGATAGGAGAGTCTTCACAAAAGTATGATTTTCATTAAAAGTACCTCGCTGTATGGGATGACTCGTTAAAATCCAAAATTAAAATTTTCAGCAATTTTTAAATATTCCATTTTAGCAAAATATTACACCACATTTTCCAGAGCTGCCACTGTCCAACATTCTGTCCCACATCATACACTAATTCTCCTCTTTGTGGGGCACATCCTTTAACTACAGCTCCTGTAACACATATCACAGCCTCACAGAACACTAAGGTTTATTGCTGAGTTGCTCCTAAGTCTAGGGTTCCACATACTGGATAGTGAGAATAAAAATGCCAATGGGGATGGCTTGCTGTGGACTGACTCAACTCTTAATTGAAGTCAGTGACTGCCATTAGTAATAACTGAATGAAGAATGGATCTCACACAACTGAGGCAGAGGGCTGTGGGAAATGCAGAACATCAAAAATAGTCAGACACTCACAAGTGGTTCCATGTGAAAATATACTGTCAGGCTTTCTGAGCTTCTGTGTATGGGACTTTACAGTCGCCATATTCTTTTACCTTAAAGCCTTTTACATCCCACATTAATATTTTACAGAGTGTCAGTGTTGTTTGTCCTAAAGTAAATCATGTTCCTCAATCTCCTTTTTCTAGAAAAAAGAATATCTTCCCATTCAGGAAGCTTGCTTATAATAAATCAGTTTCACCATTAAATGAAAATGGTGAAACTGATTTTCACCATTAAAAAATCAGTTTCACCACTAATTTTAAAAATATTTATTAGCCTACCTCATCAACAACTTGCAAGCATCCATCTCTTACACAGTTCTTCTGACTCATAAAAATACACAACTTGAAATCTCAAAATTTTCCACATATCTACGCACTGCTCTGAGAAACTACTGTAACTCAGACTCTCTGTAAAACTCCTGCTTGCTAGGGCATGTATGACCTGTTTCCTTGCCTGGTGACATTTTTCTTCCTAAAAAGATGTATTTGATTTGATACTTGATTTTCCCTAAAAGTCAATAATGATGGAAAAGATATGAATAACTTTAACTAAATAGTTTGTTCTCAGTTTCACTATAATTATCAGTCTCTTTTTTCCAAAATTCTCCATAAAAATTGCAACTATCCCTAAAAAAAGTCCTAAAAATAAGCAAAACACACACACACACACACACGAAGGCAATGAGATATTTTAAATTATATATGGGATTTTTCTAGCTTATTCTTTATCCCTATAGAATATTAATTATATCAACAACTCCGTTTTTCAAACTCAGTCTAAACCAGAGGCTCTTCACAGCACTTAACTGACTGCTTGAAGTACAACCCAACAAAGGCTGATTTTATAGCGGACTTACAGTTCCACAGACACAAAAAGGTATTTGGGTAAGCCATTTACTTAATTCCTAAGGCTCCAAAGGGACAGCTGCTGCTGAATATTTATTATCAACTAATTTGTTATGCTTGACTAATAATTTGGGCAACTTTCCAGCACTCCCCATTAATCCAAATCCTAAAGACAACACAAGCATCCACAATGAGGATTCCGAGTCCCACAGAATTCAGGTGGCTCAGAAACACTGTCTAAATTCAAATCCATCCCTCCTTCCTCTTGCACAGCTTTTAGGTGTCCAGCACAATTGACTCAGACACTGTCAGAGTGCCCATTTCTGGCATTATTACAAAAGAGCCTCATGTGATTCTTGAGGATTTTCAGCCTGTTTAGCTCTGCTACTGTTGAAGGCAATGCAAAAACACACATCAGGTGAAGGAGACTTTGTTTACGTTCCAATAGCTGCTACATTTTTTAATTGCCTTTCAAAAAATTAGGTTTTGCCCTTTCCTACTATAAGTGAGAATGGATAGGAAAACTATCCACAGATGTCCATGTATCTTGGCTTGAAATTTGGCTTTTCATAATCCTGCCACCTCAGAGCCAAGCAACCACTGCCTTTCCCAAGCTGTCAGTGACACCAAACCCATTCTGCACAGACCACAGTCCATTTTTATGAAGGAGCCTATCTTCTTGTACCCACATGCTGCTGTCTGTTCAGCAGGTACTTCACTGATGACAACGGAAAATTTCACCCAATATTTCTTTGCAGTTATTACTTTTTAGTTGTTGTGCTATTTGGGATGCTTGTTTTTACTTTGTCTCCCCAGAAGAGACACAAGAACAAGGAGATGCCAAGCTGTTTGGGAAAGAAATAGGACACCAGGATATAAATGGGAGATCCAGAATTTCCATTCTTACAAAGAATCGAGTCTCAGCTATAAATATTGCATTAGGAATAATTAAAACAACTGTATATGAAATACATTTTTCAGAAAGAAGAGACTCAATGAGTCACTAGAAGTCCCTTTCCACTCAAATAAACATGCTTTACAAAACACATCATACTTCTTAACTATTTTAAGTTATTTTTAATCATATGGTGACTATTCAGCAGGATCACAAACAAGTGTGAGCCTTACATGTTCAAGGTGATCCTAAGGAAAACACAGTACTTTTAAAAGTGTATTCTTAATTAAAGTTAAGCAATGAATGCAGCTTTTTTTCTCTGCAAAATCTGAAATCCACTCCTATGCAGAAACACAAATATTTAGTATGAGAAGGAATGTTCTCCGTCATTCTCAAAGGCCACATTACAACACTGGAGAAAGGAACACTTTACATCAAATTGTTAAGCCATTAACAGAAAGCACCAAACTATCCTGGAACCTATCACACTTGGACAGTAGTAACGCCATGATCAGTAGATCTGAAATTGTCTAATGAGAGGTGGGTAGGGGACCCTGAACAATTTTATTTTTTTAATATCATATAATGTTGTAAACAGTTTTATAATTCAGTGAGAAAAAACCCCAAACATTAAAAAATTGGTGAATAGCTGTTAGGCCTGACAAGACCAAAACAGAAAACAAAATATTTTAAGTCAAAGCAGTTACTTATTAGAAAAAAAAGGAATCAAACCAAATTAAATTATATATTTCTCATTTTCAGTATCTTAGATAAAAGCTGAATGCCAGCCCAGACGGAGACTTGTGTCAACTCGTGCTTTAATCAGTACAGCAAAAAGAACTGAGTAAACTAAGCATAACACAGGCTACAATTAGCCCTCCAACTAGGTAATCATCAATGTTCACTGTTCTATTTTTGCCTGATAATAACTAACTGTGTTTGCTCATTTCCTAACGCATTTGCTTCTTGCATCACAAGCGGTCTTTGGTCATCTCATGGCCTCGTGCAGGTGCATGTCTGCTTCATTCTCCTCCAATAACGCACTGGCATAGCCTACCTTTCACAGATGTGTCCAAACAAAGCAGCCTGAACACAGCTCCCAGAGAAGGTCAGAGCACAGAGGGAGGATAACAAGACCACTAATTCAGTTGTAGGCTTAAACAGAAAGCTCTCATAGCAAGGACATCCAGAAAGGATTACTGATTCTTTTAAGAAGTTGTGTAGGTAATTCAGGACCCATAAAAGCTAAAAACTAAGGGGTTTTATTCTAAATTCAGTGAAAAAAATCAGCAAGAAATTCAGAGGTCTGTCTTGTTGAGTAGGGCTCCAGGATAATTGTGATTTTTTTTACCCCATCTCACAATGATAATTTTCATTCAGTGCCATACCAGCTATTTCCTTGCTATAACATATTTCAGCTGGCTGTTTATTTCTTTATACTCATTTTGTAGACAGACATCACAGCTGGCAAAATCTCTGACAGCATTTTTAAAAGGCTCCCCATTTTTTAAAATTTTTTTCCACTGTTTTTCAACCACATAAACAGAATTCTAATTACATCTGCATTTCTGCCTCTCACTCTTAAAGCCTTTCAGTTGTAGATTAGCAATTACTGAAGATGCTGCTCTGATTAGACTCCTAAAGCGGGTTGACTCAGGATAAGTGATTACACAGTGTTAATCACATCATGTCTGAGAGCACACATTGGTTGTTCCAAGGCAACAGTAAAATTACAGTCCACAAATGAAACATGAACATGTTTCTGCTGCTCTTGTATTGAACATTATATGACAGAGGAAAACCAATAATCAAAATAGCTTTATTGGCAATATAGTATTTTCAGACTAATGTAAAATGATTCATTTGTTTTTCTGAAGATACTGAAATGTTTTCAGATATAATCACTTATTTTCATACATGGCCTGAGCTATCATAGTATATTTTATATAATTTAACAAAATTTATTTTTTATTACTTATGTCATAGTACGTAAAAGGCCACAACTTATTGTGAAAACTATGGTTGCTCTTTATGAAAAAAAAAGTTACATCTCAGTCAACGAATGTCAAATAAAACAAAATACTTTTGCTATATTCTGGTACACAGTGAATAGGGATACTTGGCATAATTTACAGTTGCAAATTCCAATTGTACATTCTCAGCCATTGCTGAGCATTCACAGTATAGGTTTGGTCTGGACCATGACCATTTGAGTTTCACTTACATTACCTCTTTAAACTGATGGATATATGTCGGTATATGGATTTGTATATGTTTACATGCATACACCGGGACATAAAATAACTATGATGAGTATTTGTTTACGCTTCTTACATAATACAAAGCATAGGACTTCCCTCAGTATTCACTGCTACTAGGCCAACCACATGGTAGCTTTCCTCACTCAATTATATAAAATAATGAACAAGAAAAGGAATATATTAATAAATGAGCTTTATAATTAATTCTCTATTTGTTTTCCCTTATCCTCTATTAAAACTTAGGAGTCTGAGGAAAGATTTTCTTTCTTATTCATTTCCTAGAGAGCTGACTTTAATATTATCATAATATTACTCCACCTAGACAGCAGTTCTGCAGAGGCAGCAGGACTCCCAGGGAAGCACTGTTTGATGAAGCTCTGAGATGAAAAAACTTGAAACTGAGTAAGAGAAACGTTTTGTGTTTTTTTCAGAGCTAAGTGCTGTGAATTTCAAAGCATCAGTAGTGTATTCAGAAATCTTTCCACTGGGGAAGATTAGTTCACTTTTTAAAACTCTAAAATGAAAAAGTGTATTCTCTCTTCCATTAGGGCAGCCTGACTAACCTTATTTTTATACCTATTGCTTCACGTATTCCCATACTTGTTCCATTACATCCCTCAATAGCATTCTAAGTAAAATCAGATGTTCATCTGGGACATACACACACATATATACATATACATACATATATATATAATCACAAACTTCAATAACAGTTTCAGACTAGACTACTGTATTAATGCTAGACCAGTGTACGAATGAAATGGAGAGAGCACTCTGCCTTGCCATAAGTGGGTGTCTGCTTCAGCGTGAGCTCCAGATGCCACCGACTCAGTTCACAAGGGTGTGAGATTGGCCAACAGTTCATGTATATCCACATTTTATGGACAGTTAAATTTTAGTGTATGAATATGAAGCTAACTCCCACCTCTTCTCTCAATCTTTTGTTTTACAAGGACACCACAGGAAATTACAGTGCATTACTCCAACATAACAAGATCTTTTAGTCCTATTTATCAGATATTAACCCAACCAAATCTTATAATATAATTGCCTTTAATGTATCTGTTCCTTCTCTGCTGTTGTTGCAGAGGATGCTTTGCTCCAATTAATTTCTAAGAGGCTTGATTTCTGTGGTTCTCTCAACTTCAGAACCTCTGTTTCCCCAGTGCTTCAAAAAAGTCATTGAAAGCTTGCTCTCTTTTTAACTACCTTCTTTCCTCTATCCATTTTATTTAGCATCACGCTAAATGTCCAGTTTATCAGCTATAATCATGGGAAAAAATTATTCCAGAAGGACATACTGAAGAGGAATATCTAATGAGAAGAAAATCCCTTCCAACATATTACCTTTTTATTATTGCTTATGTGTGATTCTGAGCTTTTCTCAGTTTCCTTTTTGACAGCTTCCTGAAGATCAGAGGCTTGCTGCATATATGTTAATGCTGCCAATATCTCATCTTCTAGCAATTTTACATCTTCATAGGAAATTGGCCATCCCAAATTCTCCAAAGCTTCCAGCAAAGCTTCTTTATGCTGCATATATTGGACTGGCCCATCCTCTTTAAATCTTAAAAAAAAATTATTAAAAAATAATTAATAATCACAAGTAGGAAAATTTTAATTATGTCAGTAATCACAAAGCATAAAGGCAAAATAAAGCGTAAGATTCATCCAATATATCTTTTGTCATTCACAAATTCTTGTGTTTCATCCAGATACTGTTGTGTCAAGTCAGACAATCATCTGGCTTAACCATATCTCATACAAAGACATCTACAGAGCAGTTCAAGTGTCTGAGCATAGATGCCTGGTGACATTTTAGATGTCCTAGAATATGTGAGGCATCAACAAAGAACTTGTAGACATAACTAAGAAATCATTAAAACCCCTGGACTTCTGGAACAGCAGGTAGAATAAAATGGCAAGTTATCTAAACAACCTAAAATGGCACCTGACAGCTATTAAGTCCTGATTTGCCACATGAGTCTGGACTGATCACATAAAAAGAGACAATCCTCTCCTATTTATTCCTCTGCCAGTCCTGCACTGCTCAAACCAGGGGTTTGCTTCCATCCATGGTTCAGATTATGCCAATGTCCACAGGACTAAATAGCCAGTTTGAAGCCACACACTGAATGCACTTACAAACCAAAAAGTGAAATAGATACAGCCATCTTGTTGACTAAAAAACCCAAAGAAGCTGAACTTTCCAAAATCCAGAACAGGTAGAACTCTTTACATCTTCAGTTGGAAGTAACATAATTCTTTTTAGTCCTTTTAGCTTTTTTCTGGCTCTTCTCTACAGCTTTGCCAACATGTAAAAAAAAAATAGTGAAGCCTAGAACTAGGGAGAGTATTGAAGTGTCTGCCTTACCAACTCATGGAACCATAGTCATGTCTACCACGTTGCCATAATCTTTGTCACTGCTTCTCACTCTATTTCCCTAGGAACTGTTTTGTATTGAAATTAACCTGATGAGTATAATTACTTACCTAGATTTTTGCCCTATTACCTGAATCCATTATTAATTCATAACAAATGTTAAGCTAATATCTCCTGAGTTGGATTCTTAAACATTTTGAACACAAGCGCAGTATTACCACTGCTCTAACGAATTTGAATTTCCCTAGTATCTGAGGTAGCATTTTAATACGCACTAGCAAACCAGAAGGCTCCTCAACCAATAATTTCAGGACTCCTGTAACCAAGTTACTAGACTTTGTTTATTGCTCTCTTTTCAGATTGCTAATTTTGAAAGTATGTTGTCAGCCTTCTGTAACACATGAACCTGCTCCTTCAAATTGTAAACTTAGAAGAGAAATAGATCAAGTATTTCAATATCTATGCACCAATATTAATGATTTAATATGCCCCTCTAGAAACAGACAGTACAATTGCTAAGTCTTTTCTTTTTTTTAATTACATGCACAATTGGCCTCATGATACCAATAATGAGATATTTTGGATGACACCTTGTCAAATCTGTATACTGTACAACTCACTGTTTATCAACAGACATCTATTTCCTTCTTTTTTTCCCCAATTATATGCTGTTCTTTTGTTTAGCAGTCTCGATTTCATCTCTGCACCACAATGGGGTTTTAGTTCTCCTTATTAATGATAGAACTCTGGGGTTTTTTACTCATGAGCTTAAGTCTTCTTATAAGCATTCTAGTTTTCATTTGTGTAGGAATATTTTGTGTAGAAATATTTCAGGCCCATTCAGTTTTCATTAATTGATCTTCACTTTATTCTCTGATGCAAACAGATGCTAACTTCACTGATGTCAGTCCTGTCTATACAGTTACTAGTTTTCTAAATCAATATACAGAAACAGGCTAGTTAGAGTAGTACAAGCTCCTAGTGTGATATATAGTTCCAGCTCATGCTGTTAAGGTACTTATTACACTTTTACAAACAAGCCACTGAAGTGCATTTTACAGGATGAAAGAAGATTTACTTTGATGCCAAAGGCAACAACATGCTGCCCTCTCAAGGCCCTGCCACTTCACGCTAAGAACAGATCAGCAGCATTCAAATGGAAGTCAAGTTCTTTTCCTTTAAAAATAATCAGTATTGCAAAAGGAGGTCCAGAATTTAGTCTTACTGCATATCACATATACATTTTTGAAAGCAAAGTATAGTTATGAAACATTTGAAAGTTAAACCAGTTGGTTATAAAAATAGTGACAAAAAACTATCAAATATTTATGACCAGCCTTTCAGAGGTACATTAGAAAACCAAAAATAATAGCTTACTTGTCTCTTTCCTCCTGAGATAGTGCTCTCCAAACAACTAGGTTCAGGCGCCTATTAAAGAAAGCAAAGCAGTTTTTGAGGGAATGCAGTTCCTTGTGCAGCTGATCATCTCAAAACTAACAAATAAACACAGTTTCTTAGGATATCTGCACTGATTTGTATTCCAACAGCAGTGCATCATCAAATTGTATCTTTATCATTCAGCTATGAAATTATCAACTGCAAAAGAAGATGGGAAAACAGCATCTTCCATCAAGTAGCAGCATGACTATTTCAGGGTCATAGAAGGTTTAATGGCAATCACTGCTGCTTCCTGACAGGATTTTCTATGGATAGTTCTCCTCAGCATCAGCAAGCTAAATCAAATAACAAAACTGATTAAATGCCAGTTAAGCTGCACAGTTTTTCCAATTAAACAGTTTCAGAAAACATAGCCTGAATGTAGTAATGCTAATTTTTTTTTTTTTCTGCTAAGATTACCCCTCTGTTGTGGGGTAATTAGAAACTCAGGTTTCTAATTCATTAAACTCTGGCTATGAAGAAAAGCTACTAACAGGAAAACAGAAGTGATTATCCCAAAGCAATGCAGTTCTGAGATCCTTTAAACGCACCACCAAACTTTCTGCTTTTGCTTTCCAGACATAAATTACAAACTCTTCTTAGATCACCTAGCTTATGACTTTCTCCACAAACATCTCAAACAAATAAGCCACCATTCAATTACTTCATTTCATACTACAGAAATAAACCTCTACAGTGATGCTAATTGCTATAATAATAAACATTTTCAAAATTTCCTTTGGAAATACAAGAACAAATTCATTGCTAGGAAAAATTCAGGTTGTAGCCATTAGAATATTAGCAGTCTTGTGAGACTTACTGGTGTATGTATGAAGAAAAGCACATTAACAACAGATTTTGAGCATTAATTTTTTGATGATTCTTTTGATCTACTAGAACCCAAATCCCATCATTTTTAGAATGTAAATTATTTAGTTCTTTCACAATCTGCAGTCTCAGAATGCTCCACTGACTATTTCATCCTTCTAGATGTGCATACTCATAACTAACTCATTTGTAAAAGCTTCTGGCTCTACAAGACCATACACATTATGAAGCTTCCAGTGTTTTGCTCCTTCAATACTGTATATTCTCTTCTTTGGAGTACAAAAATTCTGCCCTTACCACTTTTCTCCCTTTAAACTTGATGCTAAGGTTGATCTACATATGGGGAAGATATTGTTACGCTCGCTTCTGTCCTTGAAACCTGCATACCCCGATGTATTTTTCATCTATACATGTCAGAATAAATTTGTGACCAACAACTATTTACAAAGCTGAACTGCAGCTTTTGCAACTTCAATTGCTAGAAAAGTACTATGGCATTTAGAGCAAAATAATTTTGACTAGGTTGCTGTTTTACATGTAGAGAGAAACCAGAGATCTCTTTTTTACATTGTCAATTATAAGGCTCTTCAGACAGATCTTTCTTCTAGGCATCTTTTTCACAGAAGTAGGAACTCAGTCCTACTATTGTAAAGACACTGACTCATTGACCTCTGTGAGTAAACATAAGTAAACAGTACTCCTAATCATCAAAATTTTAGGAAGACTGTGAAAATGCTGTCAGTAGAAGATCACCAGAATTCAATCAGAAAACATTTTTATTTCCCTGAAAATCAAAGTCAATAAATGCAAAATATTTAATGGTATGGCACAGCAATGAAAAATTTGATTTTTTTATCAGAAGTCACCATTACAAATACACCCATTGAACCTTCTATCAAAATGAGTAACAAATCAATTTCTATCAATTCTTCATCACCCTGAAAATAACAGTATTGTCTCAGTGACGGAACACACAAAATCAATAGACTTTTACTCCCTGAACTCCATTAATATTAGATATATCGAGCAGCATTTGCAAATCATACTTCTTGATTTTTATCACAAAAGATGTATGTAGGACAACAGGGATTAAAAACTGAGCTATTAAATGCTTTAAAAAGAACCGATATGATCATAGAGCTACAGAGGAAAAAAATCCCCAAACCTAAAGTGGAATTAATCAAAAAACAAAGAGTAAGCCCTTGTCATATAAAATGATTACATCTGTAAATGTTACAGAATACAGCCTAAAAAAGTATTTATTAAAATAATACTAGTCAAAGCTCTCATATGATTACTGAATTACTCTAAAGTCAAATAATTGCATTGTTTAAAAAAAATGCATTAAGTCAGAGCATGGAAGGAAATGGCTTAGAGATCCTACATCCTTGTCCTGTTTACTTCTGCTGTGCTTTTCCCAGCATTGAATTAACAAGCACAACACATATGTCCCTCGAAAAAATCCCAACCAAATTTAAATTGTCAGTATCTTATTGGTGCCTCAGTTATATTCTTGCATCCATAGTTACATGACATACCTGGCAGCAAAAAGCAGGTCCCTAATTTAAATACCAGTCTATGGATTGAGGAACTTAATTTTAAGTTAAAAAGTCTGCCTAACACTGTATGAGAGATTTCTCCACAGGGATGACTGCTTTCAGATTTATTCTTGGCAAGTAAAGGAATTTTGCTTTTGTCACTGAACAAACATGACCTGGGCAACATGTTCAACGTGTTATTTATTATCTCCTTGCCTCTCATCTGCTGGTTTTTCATTCTGCTTTTTACTGCAAACATGATAAATTTCTGGTGAGTAGACTTGCCTTTTGTAGGATTTAATTGCTTGTTCCAGCTTCTCTTTATAGGCAACAAGATTCACTGCCTGAGGATTAATTAGTGCGATCCCCTTCTTGTCATTGCTAACATGGGCCAACGGTAATATCTATTATACAATAAAAGAAAAACATTTTATTTATCATAAAAATTTTCCTCCACCAGATTGACTGAATGCTGAAGGTCAGAATAGCCAGAAGGAACACTGGAATGCTGCAGAAAGAAAAATCTGAGCACACCAAGCAAATGTCAGTATTAAGATGCAGTTTCCAGACAGTTCTTCTAAAATGTCTAAGTTACAAACTAAGATTCCTAACTATTAGCTATTTCTAACTAAATCAGTACTGTCAAACAACTCACTCTAATAATGGAAGGCTAGGTCAGAAGGAAACAAACATGCCTAGAGCAATTCCATATTGTATTGCCTTAAAACAACACTCTCTTATACCTATTAGCATTTCTAGCATACAGGTGTGAGAGTACATATTTAAGTGTATTTTATGTTCTTATTCTGGAGCACCTTATTTTATAAGGAGTTAGTGTATTACAGCTATGGAGAGACATTTTTCTCCATCACACTGTTCACCAAAGAGAGAACAAGGTAGATATTGCTCACCGAAACTAGTCTTAATTAACCACAATAAGGCTTAGGAACCTAATAAGATTGATCAGAATCAGGAATTTCAATACTTTCCAAATCTCGCAATATAGCATCTACATAAGTCAACTTCATTATAAAATAGGAAGTTATACATTTGCAAGTAGATCTTCCAAAGCCAAAGTAAAGGGTAGAATAGAATGACAGAGAGAAGGAAAGATGCTTTCCAAACTGTCAGTCCAAAATCCCCCCACCTTTCAGCCTGTTAAATTACTCAGCAGTTTGTGTAAGAAAAGCTATTTTATGTATCAATGTCCTGGTGCTGAATATAAACAGAAAAAAATCCAAGGAAGAATTGGAGAAGATGGAGAGTGATACTCTTCCTCTTCACTGCATATGGTTGAGCGTGAATCTTCCCCAAGTGCCTGTCTGAAATCAGGATATAGATGAGAAAAACATTTATGAGGTTCAATTTAAGTTAAACTAACTTTGACTTAATTAATTTAAGTTAAACTAAGACCACTATTGGGGGAATAAGACAAATAATCAGCAATTAGAGCAATAAAAGGACTTATTTAATTGAGAACATTTTTCAGTGATGTTTTATTTGTGTTTGAATCATCACAGCCTAGGTGGATTCCAAATTACTGCAATATAAACCATTTTTCCAGGAGCAGTGGTGTGACCTTATATCCCCCTCTCTTTCTGAGGACATCTTCTCTCTGATTAATAAATCTGTGTCAAATCAGTGCCAGACCACATAAAGGCTTCTAATATTAATCTTAAGATCATTTAAAAATGAAAAATAATGGGAATATGTCGGTGAAGTATCTTGCCAGAGACAGATGGGGTCAATCTCTGCCCAGAATTCTGAGCAGTGAAACCTGGATACTCGTAATTTCCAGATGAAGTTTGAAAGCTGAAAGGCAAGGAACTGATTACTCCTCTTCAAGTTCCCTACTGCCAAGATTGTTGTCTAAAATGTTACTCAAACCAAGTCAGAGTAACTCCAAGTGCAAGTAGCACAATTTACAATGTGAATATTTAATACAGTTTATAAAACACTGTGAATAAAATATGAGGGGCAGACAAGCATAAATACATTATTATACTATTGAAGGCTAAAACCAGAATAGAATGTGTTCTTAGCAAATAGTAAACTTGAAATATTATGCACACTTTGAGAACAATGGAAACTGCTCACAAAGTCATGGTAAATTTGACAGATTCAACTGAAAAAAATCATAGGGAAACTTTTTTAGTTCCAAAATGTTTCATCATTTTCTAAATATTTTAACTTTCATACCAGAAGAATTTACTTGTTTCAAAATGGCTTTTACTTCAACCCCAAAATTTCGACATTTTAGAGACAAAACCAAAGCACAATAACCCTATAAAATCTTCCTTATTTTTGACAAAAGAAATATGTTTTTGTTGGTTGATCCTGAACCGGATTCTTTTGAGCAAAACATTGAGTCAAAACTCCAAAACCGTATTTATGATGCCACAACCTGCAATATATACTCACATGATTCTATACGCAAGGTTTCTTCCAGAATTACCATACCATAATTTAGAGAAGCTCCCAAGCCATTATTTTTTTTCTGAATAGGACTCTAGCTGGGTAGTTTAATAAATTAAACTCTTTGAAATAACTCAGGTGAAACTGACAGGTCGCACAGGACTGAAAACAACAGCTCAGCCTCTTGTTAATGAATAGTTGTCATGGAAACTTTTTGCTTGCTGCATCTCCAAGGTGAGAAAACTGTTCATAGTTACTCCATTATAACTGCTAGCAAAGGCAGAAAATAAAAATTATACTGTGCCCTGAAAAGCAAACAAGGATGTCTGCATTCCACACCAAGAAAATTAACATCTTAGAGGGAAGAATGAAGAAATATCTGTATATTTATTATCTTCAAAGAAATCTTCTGAAGTACTGGAATGATAAAAATCCTTAAAGTCTCCTAGTCAAGCTCCATATCTAGTCTCAGTACCTATTTTCTGTTTCCCTCAATTTGCTGGCATGAAGCTTTGCCCGACAAACTGAGTGTCTGAATATAACTAATGGAGATTAGCAGGTATGAAAAAATTACAAAAATTATTATTTTTTCTTTACACATAAAGAAAGCCCCAGAATTACTTTTTGGACTCTGTACAGTACCAGTTTATTCTAATGCTGATCTTAAACTCAGTCCTGAAGTAGACTACCAGAAGCTTTTATGACTTGCCATTAAAAAGGGCCTGTACGCAGCAATTGCTGAATCTTAGTTTTGACTATTTTCAAAGACCACTGTTTTACAGACTGGGATGTTTTTGCTGGTAGCAATTCACATGCAGCTCAGGGTGGTCTGTAAAGGATTCAAAGGACTCTTCATTGAGAAACGTGGAAGAAGAAGGAGATGGGAAAATAAGTGACTGGAAATCATAGGAGTTATGTGAAATTCACAATGTCTTTGTCCTACATGTCATGTATAGTAGATTGTTTTGTACAGTTTTTTAATCACTGGGTGTTTGAGCTATTTTTTAAAAATGGCTATTTTACATCTGAAATGTTAAAACATATATTTTAAAATGTTTTCATATAAAAAGATCGTTTAGTTACATAAAAAAAAATTCACACTTCAAAAAAAATCCTTATAGATCTTGGTTTTGACTTGGCTTTACTAAAACAGAGGAACTGGTTTTTATTCCACAGTCTGCATGCTATAGCAAAAATTCCAGTTCCTATATTTAAAAAACAAGCATGAAAACTTTAAAATGTACAATTGTGTACTTTGTTATAAATCCCTTGTTCATTCCTTATTATTTAAAAAGATGTTCAGCTTTTTCTTTGAGTATTGTTTAAAGAAAACGTTTTTATTAATTAAAATGAGCTGCAGCATTTCATAGCACTTTCATAGGATGTATCACACAAGAAGAATTAGAGCAACTTGCCACAAAATGGATTTCCTTTAAGTGGATTGGCAATTAGAGCTTTATGATATACTATTCACCATAAATGATATAAGCTTCATGATATACAATCCACAACCTCACAACTGTCTACACCTATGAGAACTAAATTTTAATTACTGAATTCCAATACTTTTCAAAAGGTCTTAGTGGTCACAGGTACACCTTGAGAATCCAGAAGCCCACCAACTGTGCACCTGCACCATTTACCAAATGACTTTATGAACTTCAAACTCATACTCCGGTAAATTAATACATATTAGGAGAGGCTGTGGTGCTCAAGAAATGGCCAAACACCTGATGGCTGCAGACTGCCATCAACTGGTAACTGTGAAAGAGCTTAAGGGTAAAGCATGCAAGAAGTACTGCCCTTAACTATCAGTTTTATCTTCTTCCTAATGCATGAATGAAAGTATAGATATGCATTATACATTTAGTGACATGAACTATCTACAATGAACACCAGAGAAGGCTATTATGACATTTATAGAAATCAATTTTAGAAATCCTTTTGAAAACACTACTAAGTTTTACTTTTGCTTTGAAACAGTGTTAAGAGTTTTACCTCATCAAATACTTTAGAAACTACATGCTTGTCCAGAACTGGGATGTATTTGGTACCATGAGGGACAGCTGTAGGAGCTAAGGCATCCATGATGGTGAGTCGCCTAGCAACCAAGCCATGGGTCTTTAACCAAAGAGCTGAAGAGATATCTAGAGAGCTAGAAAAGAGAGATTGTAAGATGTAGTATAATCAGAAATACATTTGAAAGGTCTGAAATGACTGAAGAAAAATAGAAACTCTGATTTTTGTGTTGTATTTATATGTGCCCACACATACCTTTTAGATGCCTTTTTCACATTCTGCATTTTCAGATCTAAGAGAAAACAATTCCATTTCATTATCTTAGAGGTTTTGTGCACACTAAAGTATACATATATAAGCTGATATATAATAGTGCCATTTTTTTATTTGAGCCTACTAGCAGCACCACAAAGACTACACAATAATGGCTATTTCAGTTGCTAAATTAATCAATGAGAATTAGGTTTCCTTTGTTTCTTGGTGCTTGATGAATAGTAACGGTGTTACAATATACCTCATGAGCCCTAATTAATCAATGAGGAAATTTATAAAATAGGTGGAAAAATTTTTTTAAACATAAGTTAGTTAGTTAGTTAGTTTGTTTTTTACCCAAAACCAAAAATTAACCAGCTTATTTCCCAAGTCAAGATGTGATACCAAGTACTACCACTAATAAGATGGCCAGGAATGGCTAATTTAAGGTATACCACTATGAAAATCTGTCTAAAAGATATATACAAAACTAAACATAACATGATGAAATGTAAAAAAGTCAAACATCTTTGAGCGTCGTTATGTGAGGTTTTAGAATGACTTAGTGAATCTATCATAAAGTTCAGAGTTGCATGAATTATTGAAAGAAATTAAAACTATCTGGATGTATATGTAAGCCCCCTTGAAAGCACTATTGTCTCTACATATGTGTCTGTCCCAGAGAAAATGGGTTTTGCAAGTCTAAGCACATTAATGAGGGCAACCTCTTCTTACATTGGTACCACAGAATTAGAATCACCACTCTCATCTTTTAACCACAAACTACTGTTCCACAAGAATAGTGTATTACTGTACCACAGGTACAACAAGATTGTCAAGACCTATTTCTTATGTTGATAAGAAGCAACTGTGATATCCTTTCATATAAGGCACAGCTGTATCACAACTGCTGCATACTGTGAACACAACTAAGCTGTTGTGAACTGCATAGTTTGGGCACTGGCAGGAGTCTGAGAACACTGTTACAATACCATTCTGCACATCCAACTCTCTGCATCTCTGTTGAGTTTCAGTCCTTTGTGCTGCAGATCTGCACAGTTTTGCCTCAGATAAGGTGCTTACAGCATGAGAAAAGTTATCCTCTGCCCCACTCAGAGCTTCCTATTCTGCCAACTTGCCTTTCAAAATAGTTGTACATTTCACACTCTTCCTGACAGAAAAACTCTTTTCCTCTGGAGATGTTCTTTCCTCTGGGCTTTCTTCCCTAGATTTCACACCATGGCTCAGGATTCGCAGCAGGCTGCTCTTTGTTTGCTCTGTAGGTGTTGAAAGGGAAAGGAAGAGCTAAAGGAGCTAACTTACTGCTCAAATACATGCCTGGGATTTTAGAGTTCCTCCTTGGTATTCCATCCCAATTTTAAAGGGACTGCCTACACAAGACCTCAAACACAACATTGTTTGTACTTTGTACTTTCCTCAAGGATGAAGGTTTCTTTTACTTCAGCTGGGTAAACTTGGTTTCAGACTACAAGGATACAGAGGACATACAAAGGATACTTTCAAGAGAAATACAGTGTTATGGATGTAGTAAGGGGAAATATGAGTGTAAGTAATGCTGTAACTAGTGAAACATAGATCAGCTCTTCATTCTTGCCAGATATGTACTTACTTAGAATAAAAAGAGATAAGGTTTTAACATCTACTGTTAAAAAAACATTTACATTGCTTTCAAAACATTTTGTTAAAGTGTTTAATTTTTTATTGCAGGGCCTGTGATGAAGGACAAATGAGCAGACATTTGTTTGATTGTTTTGGCCAGATGAATAAGATGGCTGAAAAGTAAAAATGAAGATAAGTTAGTTAGATTTTCAAAAGGATGATTATTTATATCATCAAATACTTCACTTGTTCCTACAAAAGGGATGCTCTTTGCTATTTGCAACAGGATCTTTTCAAGTTAGTGAATAAATTCTGTTAACAACCACAGTTCATTTGAGTCTTACCTGCATATAATGATTTCTTTCTTCGGGCTGGACTGTCAGCAGTCGTTTGCCAGGTTTGCTCATGTGATGTCAGTGCTGCCTCTTCTGAAGCACAGAACAGCCTACTGCTAAGAGAAGTTCTCAGCTCTTCGGCATGTCTGGATACAGTATGTATTTGCTTGGGGTTAGCGCTTTTAAGTCTCAAAAAGAAATTACTTCAAGGATATAACAATGGTATAAGAAATGCTAAGCTGAAGTTTTCTGGTAGTTTAAATACTGTTTTCAGATGCTTCGAACAGTGCAAAATATTTACTCTGTTACACTAATCTGTATTTCAAAGGGGAGTTCAAAGGAGGTTAAAATATTCTTCATTTTTAAAATTATTTAAAAGTCCTTTCTTAGTTTATTTAAAAGATGTTTATCACTTTTAAGGTAACACCCTCATATCGTTTTAACAAGGACAGAATATTCTGTAATAGCTACTTTGAATCCCAGGGGTAAAAGTGAACCTACCATCAGAAATGAAAATATCTGACACACACATTTATATACATATACGTAAAAGTGCCAGCATTAATAAAAAATAAAAATATGAAATTTCTGAAATAAACACTTAAAAATATTTTTGTGCTGGACATTCTACCTGCCCTTCCACAGCACTCTCTACTTTTAATTTATTTTACTTTATTTTTTATACCTTTACTTTAACTTACTGTTTTAATAGATTTCTGCCTTTAAAATCTGCTTTCTTTTAATTATAATTTTTTACTTTTTTACTATTACTTCACAGATAAATACACAAATATATATGTACATAATTTATGTTTCAATCAGCATATCTCAATGAGTGGCAATTTAGTCACGAAGTCCAAGGCAGCTCTACCTATATGACAATAATTTATCATTAATTCTCTAGATCAGAGGGAGCAACTCTACCATGTGTAGGAGATATAGAAAAATACTTTCCCCTTTATGCTTTAATTATTCCTAGTATCTTGAGACTAATGACATATTTGAGATAATTTTGTTTCAGGCATCATGGTATTGGTGCATTTGTCCAGATTTTTCTTTTCCATTACCTTAGCTGTTAAAAAAAAGAACCTCAAAACAACAAAGCAACAACCTTTTTTAAAAAGAGAATGTCAGAGGCTAAAAATGCAAGACAACAAAAACAAGAAATGTAACGGATAGCTCTTATATCTTATTAACAAAATAACAGTATGAGGACATACTTATTCTCCGGATAATTTTTTTCATTAAAAGAATCCATCATCAGACTTTTGACATGAAAGGTCTTTACTTTCTCTAGGTCTTTTTCTCCTTGATCAATTTCTCGTTTCAAAAGATGTATGTCTTTATTCTAACAAAAAGAAAATCAAATATTTTAGTGCAACTACACCTAAACAAGTTTCATTTCTGAACTAAAACTATGCAATTATATATGATAATAATTTTGAATGATGGCTTAGGACAGCTTCCAAATTACTTGTATACTCTTTCAGGTAGACTCTTGTGCTTAGCATTACAGCCTTTCAAATTATTCTTCCTTTCTAGGAAAAAGACAAGCATTCCCTAACTAGCCAGTTACCTCTTGAGCTATGAACAGCCATATTTCTGAACAATGTGCTGAGGTTAGTAGTTCCACTCACTTCCAGCAAGCAAGAGAATAAATAAGCAAATAAATTAAATACAATGCAAGTTATCTGTACATTTCTACTGGTGGCCTGTCGTTCTACAGATCACAGCTTATCACATTCTGTCCCTGGGAATGACAAAACATAACTCTTCAAGGGAACACTGGAACTGACTAAGAATCATTTGGACTAAAGGAGGAGGAAACAGGAAGGAAATTCCAGTGATGATCCCCTTACAACTCCCACAGGGCCAGAAGTGTGGAGATGTACAATACAGACTCTGATGTTCATCTTTCCAACATGAGCAGTGTCACATAGTCCACACCAGCAGAATCAAACTGGCCAGTACACTCTCTGATATTTTTCAAGAGCTGGATTATTTTCACATCTTCCTTCTAATTGGTGTTTGCAAAGTTAAAATTTCCTGCTACTGTCTTGTTCCTGGTTGTTCTCATTGTTCCACCACAACCATTTCTAAAATTTGTGGAATCAATTAAGTGTTAACTTTAATTAAAAATACGTTTCAAATGGATGATTCTGTTAGTCTATTCAGAAATTTTCTACTGGGGATTGTTAGACTGAGCTGCTTAGTCACACTTGATAGATGACTGCTATTCTAGTCATTTTACTCATTATGGATCTCTCCCCAGTGGCTACTGTAGAGCAAACTTTCAACAAAATTCACAAAATCATTTATCATCATTCAAATTCAGCTCTGCATTCTCTCATTTTTTAGCAGGATACAAACCACAGTTTCACTTTAAACAGTAACTTATTTCTGAGACATCAGAGACCACATGTGTTTCTTCCAGAGCTGAATTTGGTCTGCATGTATTTTTAGGTTTTGGGTTTCAGGCGGGGGGCTAGGGGAGGGGGAATGTGCTTCCAACAGTAACATTACAGCTGTACTTTGCATGACATTTGGGCTTTTTTGTAGCAGTCTAATAAAATTTAACAAGCAAAAAATGTCATACTTATTGCTTTCACATCACTTTGAAGCTGATTGCGATTAACCCCCTTTTTTGTTAATAATCTATTGTAATATGAAATCACAATAACGCAAGTCATGTGGTTTCTTCAACAGCATGAAGAAGCAAATGTATTTGTTTGCAGATACTCACAAGAATAAACTCTGAAGTATTAGGATCAGTCAAATAAATGTTGTAATAATGAAACCGTCCCTCTGTTTTAGTAGATAGTTCATATAAAAATTTATTAGCTTCTATATCATCACAGTTGAATGATACAGTATGGATGGGAATTTTACAATGAAGATGGACTTCAGCAAAAATTATTTGGGAGGGCTGAAAATTGAAAAAAAGACATATCAAAAATGCGGCTTCTAGAAACGTGTTTATCAAAACATGGCCAGTTTGTAAGAATTTAATCAGTCACACTGTTGCTTAGAGACAGCTATAGATCAGTTAAAAGTATCCACCTTATATGGATAGCCATTTCATAATTACATAAAATGAGCTAATTTAAAAAGATTTTGAAACACTGATAATGCATTAAGGTACAGGATGTAAACTGTAATATAATCAGTACTCTTTGTTTCTGAAGTCTTAAAAGAAATTAATAAAGTATAGGAAATTAAACTACTACTTTGGTATTTACTATCTCTGGATGTATATAAAAATATTTTTGGAAGTATATGAGTGTAGATATTTTTAATAAACAAAATTAGTTCACAGAAAAGTTGATTCAATACCAGGAAACAAAACAGAGGCTGAAAAAATAGGAAAGCTAGTTTCCGCCTCATGTAAAGAAATAAAAATTAGGTGAAAAAGTAGATCTACCATATCTGAAAACACTGAAGGATCTGGTGGAAAAAAATTATTCACTCAGTTCTGTAAATTCTGATAACCCTTCAATTGTTCAAAATATTCAAAAACTCTAACAAATGAAGCAATATTTGCAGTATAATTGTTTGTTGCACTTTAACAGTTAAAAGCAATCTTGCCATTTACCTTTTTTAATCTAAAAAAAGTAAAGCATAAATCATAAAAGGCATTAGCAACCAGGCAAAAAGAAATTAGGTATTCATTAATGTTGAACTTATTAAAATATTAAAAATAAGAATATGAATAAGGGTATATTAAGCCAAATTATTTTTTGGTACAACATAAATATATGCTTCTAGATAGAAAAACTGAAATAATGCAAATAAACATTCAAGAGACTGCACAAGACTCAGCACTGCAGTTATGATATTCATCTCCTACTTCTGACTTCTGACACCACTTTTCTGCATTTTCTGTTTCCTCATTTCAGAAATACCTGGTCAGGTCTCCCATCAGTCAAGAGATAAATAGCCTGAGTGTCAGTATCAGCCAGAGCAATCTGGAGAGCTTTGAGTGTATTTGTGGAACTTCCAACCTAGGAAACCAAGAAGAAAAAGACAAAGAAACAGCTATAAATGCTAACAGTTCTTTGCCTCTGTTCTTAAATTCATCATGACACTGTAGTGATTCATGGGATAATACAGAACCAAAATGACTAATAAAATGGTGAAAACATTTCTGTCATGTAGCTAGGAAAATCAAAGCAAGTGTCAACGTAGCATAAATTGGTACCAGATTGGTATTCAGTGCTTATGCAAACACACATAAGCAAAATGCTGTCAGCAGCAATCTGAGCTGTACAATCAAAAGCAATCACTAAAAGACTATAAACAGATAGAAAGATGTAAAATAGAAGACACTTCTTTTAATTTCTCCCACTGCTGCTCCTGCATGCCAACTCATCACTCTCCCTTGAAATACATATTTTACTTCACCAAATAGTTCAAAAGCTCCCACAAAGGAGTTGCATAAGTTTATTTCTCAAAAACTGGTAAAGGACTTCCTGGCTTTCCTAATATTTTTTCCAGACTCTCTCCTTGGCAAATCAATGCAAACATAATTTATATTTTAGCAGAAAAGTTATGTATAGCAACAAAACATTCCCAGTAACGTAATACTGTGCCCACTAAAATTAATTTTTGGAGTAATACTAGCATTTTTCCTATGTATGTCATTCACAAACTTTGTGATAGTGATTTTTTTTCTTTTCAGACTAAATGCAACTCTAAACTCACTGAAATGTGTCTTATGGCCTATAGGAACCTAAAACCTATAGTTTACATCTTCAAATGTCCACCTTTCAAATATTCAGTGTTCCAAACCTTTCAAATTAAAGGTACATGTAAAGTTTTACCAGTATGGAAAAGTGTTTCATCACGTCTTAGTCTTTTAACGGGGTCAAAGCGAAATCCCTGGAAACATTTGGACCTGTTTTATGGTTGTGTAACACCTGAATACTCCTCTGGAGGGCAGTAGGGATTGCAGTCGTGCAAGAAGAGACTTGACATCCATATATATAATGAAGTGCAGAAGACAAATATAAATCTCTAACATTGACCCATGCATGCAAAAATGTTAAGAGATACCATTATTTTTTCAGTCCTAAAATTGTGTTAAGACTTCTTCCAGTCCTTCCCACCATCAACCAGTTCTATTAGAAAGGGCAAAGTAAGTAAATCAGGTGAAATGAAATAGGAGGTACATTCTGAGAGTCATTCTGTATGGCTGCATAAAGCTGTGTGGGGGACAGGCAGCAAGAGAGCTCATATACTTTATAATCCTATCTTCTAGTTCACAAGCAATCCTTATCAGTATCCACTCATAAGAAATAACTAGTCTGAGATATTTTCTTTGTGTTTAATTTATCTGATATCACTAATGTTTTAGTAAGCATTATAAAGTTTCAGACACATCACTCATTATTACGTGTAAATTGGCCATCCTGGCTCTTTTGATAATGGTACCTGGTTTTGAACTAATTTGAAACAAAACAACTTCTTTCACTTCTTTTCACATCATGGGAACATAGGGTGGATGCTGATGATGTGGGGGAAATAATTATGTACCTTATGGTGAAAGTTGTTCATTTTAGGTTTCTCAATTGCTGCTGTTACAAATGAACACTGTTTTTATCAGTGTTTAAACAACATTTACATAGTTCAACTATGTGACATTACCACCCCTAGAATTTTCAATGTTATCACATCTAAAGGATTTTTAAGGAACAGTTAGTTACTGTTTATAGCTCATCTTCCTTCTTCATAATCCAGGGACCAAAGTGTATAAAATGAGATCAAAGGAGCTACTCTGATTAATATTCCAGACCAATCCTCTGTTCATTTCAGCTTCACTGCAAAGCCAGCTTTCTCATCTCAGACTTACGCCTGCACTGCTTAAAAGAGGCTAAAAGGTCAGCAGCAGATGTCAGCCTTGAAAAAACTAGACTGCTCTTGTACCATTTCCTGTACCACTTCAGATATCTAGACCTGAATTTTGAATTAAATTTGTAATAAACAATTAACAATTTTATGAACAATGATGAACAAGGCTATTCCCAAATGCATATATAAGATGGTGTCAAATTATGACAGCTCAAAGTATTATTGCACTTGCATGAAGCTGTACAACATACATGACTTAATTTTCAAATTTTCAAGTCTCAAGGAAGGCAGTTTTAAGTATTTGCCAACTACTCAGTGAAGCCACACTAAAACTTTCTTCACTCTATGTGTTGGTCTGTTAGTATTTTCTGAGAATACTGTTATTTGTCTTGCTTTATAGTCTCAGAGGTATTATGTAGCTTCCCCAATTCCCTCATCCCCAGGAATTTTGTATTAAGTCTGAGGAAGAGCTGTCATAATGCTGAGGAGTTTTATTACAAAAACATGAGGGTTTTGTGTCAGAAGATATAATGGGGATACATCTGTAGCACTGGGCAACTGATTCTCAGTCCTTTGCTCATGTTGTCCACATTTGACACATTAAGTGGTCCTAAAGCTGATGACAGTTACAATCTGGGGGATGACTATGACTACAAGCATTTCTACTCTGTTTCAGGGAAAAGTGCTCAGATTTTGGCCGCTGTCAGAGAAAGAATATTGGGTAGAATATTGGTCTGAGTATGGTTGCTCTCATGTTTCCACCACAGCTAAAGTCAGCTGTCTATCTGTTCATCAACAGGGGCTAGAAATGCTTCTCCAGGTTGCTGACATGTTTCCCGTACCACCTCTGAGCTTTAAGTCCGCCAAGACAGCTCTCATAACCATGTAGCAGCCCTACAGCAAAAATGACAAATTTAGACACAAGAACTGAGCACTGACATGTTTCCTGCAGAAATCATATGGGCCAGTGTCTGCACTGTGGCTGCTAAACACAGAAGGCCGCATGTTGAATTATTAATATGATCTTATAAACAGGTCCACTGTTAAAGGGTTATTACACCTGACAGATGATATGTTGGACTCAGATCCTCTAAAGTCTATACATCATACATATTTTCAGTCAGTCCAAAATCACCCCAGCTGTACAGAAAATGAGGAAACAAATACAACTTTGTACAAGCACGCTTTGTGATAATTAGTTGCCATATTACCTCAAGCTGTTTTATCCAAAGCCAAGCATCTTGCAAATTTTCCTCATTAACTTCAGCAAGTTTCTCTTGCCATGCCACTGCTTGGGCACTAAATTTCACAAAGTTAAATCTCTTTTTGTGTCTCAACTGTTCCTGCAAGAGATAGCATCTGACTTTTACATACTGTTAAAAGAAAGAATACTTGTATACTGAAATAGAGTATTAGCAGTTGTTTTAATTATTATATAGTTGATTATATGGTTACAATAATATTCAGTTATGGTGTACAGAGAGATATACAGAGACAATTATTGCTTACAACTATTAAGGTTACTTGAACTTCCCAAAGTAAGTCTCCATATACTCATATTTCTCAAACTACTCGAACAGCAAATGTCTAGGAGGGCATGAAATAGAGAGATGAAACTGGGTAGAATCAGTGGTGTAAGAAAGAGATTATCACTGCTTACCAAAGGAAATTGAAATCAGAAAGAAAGATATAATTTAGAGAAAGAGAACAAGAATCAAATAAAGAGCACTGGCAAGGGGGAAGCAGGAAAAAAATAAGTTAAGAATTTGCTGACATTGTTTTTGGAGAAAAGTTGTAAGTCAGGGAATATTTGTGCAAGCTAAGTACAAACTTTCAGACCCTGGAACCTTTGCTTCTCATCACCATTTCTGTGCAGCTCCCTCTGAAACCTTCTGGCACAGTATCTAATAAATTTCCAGAGCTGATCTGCCTAGAGGACCACAAGATACTATGTCCTATGACTGCCCCTAGCTCAAAAACCTATCTGTCATAGTTTTAATATTTTTAGTCTAATGATTCTGTCAATGCCAGACTGATTGAATTTTTGTCAGTTACTTCTCTAAGTACTAAAGAAATTTAAGATTAATCACGTTTAAAGAGTACCCATTTCAAATTTTAATGTACACAAAGTTGACATCATTTTAGACTTCTAAAACTATGTGAGACAAATCCTGTCTTAGGTGTGTCTTCCCAGTACTCACAGCTTTTGAGGTGCTTCTGCACTTTGCAAGTCCCATTGCAAAGTTCTGAGTCACTGCAAGATTCAATCAAGCTCAAAACGTTCTACACCCTCTATTGTAAAAGTATGAAAGTGAATTTAGAACACACATTACAAATCACAACATGCCAATGGAAGTGGATGATAAATGAAAATGCCAAAAGGTATTTAACTGTACAGTTTTTCTCTCTGCGTGTTTTTTTTGTGTTTTGGTTGGGGTGTTTTTTTTAGAAGGAAGTTGGCTTGTGAGAAAGAACAACGTAAGACTTTTTATTTTTAACATTTTCTCTAGCTTTTTTCAAATACTTGTATAAATGAGGTAAAAATACAAGTTTTTAACAGAAAAATGAGCACATGAAGAAAAATATAAATACTTTCCTAAAGCTGCTATTTAAAAAAAATAAAAATAAATAAAAAGTGAAATAACAGCCATCCAGAAGAGATGAGCCTACTCTAAAATGCTGCTCAGCCTTCAGAATCATCTCTTTGTCCTACCTGTATGAGCTGAAATATTTTTTCCTTCACCAGTGGCAGCTTGTTGTTCATAGACTGGGATGTATCAATGAGAATATAGACATTATCTTCAAACACATTCCCAAAAAGCCCTCTGCTTCCTTGCTGAAGCCACTTAATCCTGGAGGAGGAACAAAAGTATCAAAACCTGTTCCATAAGATCTTTGGGGCTCTGTGTATCAGAATCTAACAGGTAGGATGTTTTTACCACTGCTATACTTATTCTCTTTCCCTGAGCACCTGTTAGGAGTCACTGTGAGAAGTGGTACTTTGCCCTTCATGAACCCATCCTATGTCATTACATAATAACACAAGACATTTTTATTTCATAATTTCAGTAGAAATCTGGAGACAGACAAAAAAAGACAAAACAATACAGCACCTCTAAAAGTCAATTATCAGGTAGTTTGAGCTGGGAAATCCCGTGTGGAAGCAACTATAACTATTGTCACTGTAACTGTTCTCCAGTCCGAACTCAGTAACTCATTTAATCATATGCTGCTACGCCTCCCTTTTCAGTAAACAACTTGAGAACTTATTCTGCAAGGAACTTAAGCACTTTGAAGAGCCTTAATAATAAAGCAGATGCTTCAATGGTTTGCTGACCTCGAGTCTTAAATACAGATTAAGTTTTACATTTTAAAGAGGATTGGAGTGTGCCTGCCAGTTAAATACGTGCATACATACTGCTGTGCACAAGAACTCTTCCTCAGTAATGGCTGCAGCAAGTCCAAATCTAAATTCCCTTGAGAGTCATAAAATACCCATTTACTCTGAAACAGAGACATTTAACAGATGGAATATAATGGTCCTGGGAAAAATATTACTTGTCTCCACAGAGGTTTAAAAAAAATGCTATCATGGAAACTTAAGGATCCTATTACATTTGCTACCGATAGCTATTTTGTCATTAATTTTTCCCCAAAAATGTTTGATGAGGTCTACCAGGACTTTTTAACATTGAGATGAACCATTCAAAACAGCAAACCCATAATCTCGTCTTGGTTTTCAAGAACACACGCTCACCAAACCCTCTTACCTCAAATTTTCCTTTGACATTACAAAAATGTTATCCTACATACAGTAAGATGAAGACAAACCAAAAGGAATAACAAAACTCTGTTTGACCTTGCTGAATGTAGTCAGGCTGCTATACGTGCGGTACAGAAGCAGCAATAAAATGAAAAATTCATCAACAAAATGGAAGTTCAGTGAGAGATCCCATTGCCCTGATATACAACAGGGCAACATTTATTCTTTCTCTCAGTTCTACAATAGGTCACCTTTGTCCCCTAGTGTAGCTTGAAAAGCCAATTTACTCTAGGGCATCTTTAGGACAGATTAATCAGGCCCTCAAACTGCCTATTTTTTTGTAGATGTCCTACAAAATCTAAGAGAGTCGATATGGCTATAGAAATGTAAACTAGGCAGGTAGTTTGAGCACTGAATTTCTGATCATGTGCATTACTTAACAGCTCATGCCCTGACTCTGATCTAGACTGTTCAAACTTGTCTTCGACAAAAAATTGCAAAAGATAACCATTATCAGTATGATGTACTGTAGCTGTGCTACGGTGTCAGGGGTATCTCAAGGGATACTAGATACACAGGATGAATATTTATTAAGAGTTATTCATGGTTCCTTAAGTTCTCTGTCTCCCTATAGTCCCAACACTTTTTGACACTTTCAGCAGTAATTCAAAAATGTGCAGACTGACTTTCACATTTGTGTTTCAGAAGGAGAACAAAAGATAAAACTGTTCATCAATTTTCTTATATGGCTACTAAGAAATCCTACATATAAGATTCTGATCTAAAATAGATTTCTGGCTCAGTACCTTTACTGTCAGTTTACCAACCACTTCAGCTTATTATGACAGTAAATGTCAAACATTTCAACACCCATGTAAAATAATACAAACTGATTTTATGTAACAGAACACTAACCTTCCTTCCACTTGTCTGAGAGCTGTCCTCATTTTCTCTTCGTACTGCTTATACTTTTCTGTACTAACATATATATGAACTACAGATCCATCTTTCCAGAGGGTATGTACAAACCTGTCACAGTATCTTGCATGAATTACCTTCCTCTTTGTCTCCTACAACCAAGAGAAATCCGTTTCATGTTCCAAAATACATTATTTTGCAGTGCCTTTAATATTTGGTGAACAAACTGCAAATGTACACGCTTGCTGCACATGAACAGGTGCAGAAATAAACATGAGACAGGATGGTCACAGAATTCGCTCCTAGTAAGAGTCAATAGAAACTAGTTTTATTCTTGTAGCTGGCAAAAACAGAAGCTTTACCATTACATCAAACAGTGTAATGGTAAAGCATGAGAAAAACAAATAGAAGACAAATTAATCCAAATTTGTTTAAGTACCTGCAAACACTGCAGCAGGTGAGACTAACACATATTCTGAAGACGAGCAATCTTTGCCCCACCACACAGAAATACAAAGAAAATGATGACATTGCTTAAGCCAGTTCTGATCTTTCCTCTTAGATTACATAGGAACCAGCAAGGAGTCCTTAAAACAGTCATTCTCAAATAGCCCTTTGAAACTTTCTTTTCATTGCATTCTTTGTCCCAATAATAAGCTGATTTTAACAAAAACTACAAAACAAGGCCATACACTATATCATAAATTCCCCCACCAGCCAAGTTTTCAAGCTTTAAAAGAAAAAAAAAAACAACTCACAGGATGTGAGGAAAAATTAACAACACTCACAGCATCAGTTTGTGAAGATTCATCCTCTGGTTTAGTTTTTATGTCAACAATCCCATCTACATGGCGAAAAATACAATCAGCAAGTGCATCGTACAGTGTGAGCTTCTGAGCTTTCAAGCCATACTTCTCCAACCACTTCTCAGAAGTCAAATATTTGTCATATATATGACTTTGTAATGGATGATCAGCTTTGGTTGCTAATAAAGAAAATACAACAAACAAAATCTCCTGTACAACATGGTTCAGTGTGGTTATACTATTTTCAAAAGCAGACTATGATACTAGAGTGAAAATTTTCAAACTTGTTCTGCTTGCTCTGACAGCATTGGAGTGAGCAGATATTTCTGAGTGATTTTTAACAGTCGCTACTTTGGTTTTGTTGCGTTTTTTTTTTTTTTCCTTATCAGACAATTCATTGCAACAAATTCCTTTGAAACTGGAAAAAACCCCCTCAACATCAGAAGACATTAAATAATGACAACATCAACATATAAAAGGAATATTCTTAGTAGTTTAATTACAAAACGCCAGAAAGTACTCCTGTATAAGATGTCTAACTTCAAGAAGAATCATTTGAGAAAATGAAACAACAGAAGATATAACTGAAAATACAGTTTAGACCATTAGTTAACATTATGTAGTTAACATTATATATTGGCTGGGTTTTGGTAGCAGGGGAGGCTACAGGGGTGGCTTCTGTTAGAAGCTGCTAGAAGCTTCCCCTGTCTGATGGAGCCAATGCCAGCCGGCTCCAGGACAGACTTCCTGCTGCTGGCCAAGGCCAAGACAATCAAGAGTGACAGTAACACCTCTGTGAAAACATATTTAGGAACAGAAAGCCATTGGGCAGAAAGAATTCCAGCCAGGGAAGAGCAGAGTGAGAACATGGAACAACAAGGTGGACACCAAGGTCAGTGCAGAAGGAGGGGCAGGAGGTGCTCCAGGTGCCAGAGCTGAGGCCCTGCATGGTGCAGACCATGGTGGAGCAGCTGTGCCCCTGCAGCCCATGGAGGGCTATCTCTAGTTCTACACCCTCCTTCAAGCATTTTCAACTGATACTGAAGAAAACTGGCCTTTTTTTTGGTCTGATCTGGTATAACTGTTCTTATGTTTACCCTTTCACATCATATTGTCTTATAAATTTTCCAAGGGCCATCTTAAGGTAGGTAACTGCACATCTCCGGATACTGGTAACAAGATACAGGGCTCTACACTCACTCATCACTTTCTCAATAAAACACAACTAAACCAAATGACCTGGCAGTGAGTCTCATAGCAGGGTGAATTTATTTTGTCACACTTTAATTGTGACAGACCTGGGTGGTATAAATGTCTATTCTGTTTATATCCAGCTACAGTGACAACAGCATTGAGATCCTGAGCCTGTAAATAAACCTATGGAAGCATCTACTGCCCTTACACACACAGAGACCAGCCAACATCAAGGCACGTGCAGAGTTGCAGCCTGTTCATGTGAAAATATTTGCTTTATGACTGCCTGTGGTTCTAAGAAAAAGTGTCACAAATGCACTCCACATGTTTTATGTAAGAAGTCCTGTCTCAGTTCAGGTAACCAATGCATTATCTGGAGTGCCAGCAGAAAAGTTGACTCTGTTTCTTCTCCTGCAGAACATCACAGTATTCAGAACAAACTACATTTTGCAGAGAAGTGCTTTAAACAGATCAGGAAGGCAAAATGTGGAAGAAATGCAAGCAAACTGTAAGGCTGCAGCTATTTGGATGAATGGGCAATAGTCAAATAATGCTGAAGAACAGACCAAATAAATCATGCTGTTAATTTAATTTCTTTTAAATTATTTATGAAGTGGTTATATACATGAAGGCAAACACGAAAAGAACATTAAAGCTGCAGTCAGGAACACATAAATAAACACTGAAATTATGGCTGCCCTTGCAGCTTTATTGTGGTCTCTTTGTTCATATGTATTACAGAAGAGCTGTTTAACTTCATACGGGAAGACTTAATAATTCAGAAGATGCTATTATCAGTATAGAGAACGGTATTATGCCTTCACAGAAGAAAAAACGCCAGTTTTAATCATGCAGAGCTATCTTATGGACAGAAATTCAAACCCAAAGCACCAGAAAAAAGTTTCCAGCTTCAAATCATCATCACCACTCCCGTCACGTATCTCAACACAGTTCAAGTTCCTGACCAACTGACAGTATAAAATATTCCTCAGCAGGTGATCCTGAAAGGGGCATCTGGCCCCAGCCTCCATCTAGCCAAAGTAAAAGCAATTGCACTGCAAAAACAATACTATAGCTACACAAAATCACCCATGACTTATCCTAATTCAACCTGAATCTTGTACCAACTTATACAAAAAGTACCAGTAGACACCGCGTAAGTATTTTAAAACTAGGGATTAATAAAGATTATAGGCACTGACAATCATGGCTGTGATCCTGAAAATCTATCCCCTTGATTGCAGTCCAATGCTGAAGCTGCCTAGACTCTGCAGATTCCTAGGTTTTCAGTACTTAAGTCTTGTCAGTGTGATCATTCTGCTCCAGAGCATGCTCAGAGCATCTCCATCTTAGAAGGGCTGAGTAGCACCTCATCATCCCCTATTAAAGCCTTTCAGAACTTCAGAAACCAGCCATGCTTCTGTTTCCAACAGAAACAATCAATATGCACAGAACAACAAATGGATCAAGTACTAGGCTAAACACAGTGGTGGGAACTACTAGTTTAATTAAAAAATTAGGTATTCCTTCAAGTTTCTTAAAATAAGATTCGTCCAGAATTGTTTTCAGTCTTCTGCCTTTGATTACAATTCAAACCCACACTTTTTCCCTTTTAGGGGAATAAACTAGGCCATCCCAAGATGACCATGATGGGAGAGGGACGAGGTAATTCCCCAGCACTGTATGGAATAAAACTAAAGACTTACTGGCCCCGGCAGAAAACTTGTAAACCTAGTCACTGGTGAACTAAAAATGGTGTGTTTCAAGTCAAGCTGTTAAAGTTCAGCAATTTTAAGTCGTACTAAACAGAAATATGTATTGGAAAGTTTTAAGCAATCCTAAATTTAGATAACAAGCATAGGTGTTACCTGTATATAGACATTTCTGAGAAAATCATCCCCAAATTGATGAGTAATGAAAATTGTTCACAAAAAAAGTATTGATCATGAATACAATGGTAAGTCTCTGAAGGAAACATAAATTATACCATCTTGAGAAGCAGGCTGGTCAGATTCTGATAAAATTTTCTGAACTTGTCTCACTGTATTCCTGGCTTCCTCCAGCTCCTTCCAGATCAAAAAGACATCTTCACGGACACCAGCTACTGCAAAAGAAATTGTAAACAGAACTTGACATTTTGATAAAATTTCTGCAATTTATAACTTCACAATTATCACGAAGTCATTGGTATATCCAGATGTTGCCATATAACTTTGTTTTCTTGAGGTCCCATGGCAGTGACAAATGCTGTTTTCTGATAGACTTCAAAACCCCAATTTTGAAGGTTTAGAGAGAAGACATTTTCAACTCTTACAGTTTCCTTAAAGTATGTTAACAATTTTATTTAAAATTAAATCTTCTCTTCCTGAAGACTATGTGACAAAATTTTGCCAAAGATGAGTTTATTTTCATCCCAACAATTCTCAACAAATTCTCTGCTAAAAGAAAAAAACTGCTTTACTCTCAGGCTATATTGTCAAAAAGAAAAAAAAAAAAAGGAAAGATGCAAAGCTACAGCTGAGGTTTTCTTAATCTCAACAGACATGTTTTTCTTTATTAAAATAAATAAAACATGTATTTATTCCACAGAGTACAATTACTAAAAGTGAGACATGTTTTATATATATATATATATATAAGTAGAAATGTTCACTACTAAAAGTGTGTTAAATTAGGTTAGTCTCAGAGATTAAATTGCAATAGAACAATGCAGAGAAACTCTGTGTACTGTTACAGCAAAAATATGAAAGAAACTGAATTATCAGCCATCCTAACCACAAACGCAGGCTACAACCTATTGCAGATCACAACGTATTAATGAACTGCACATAAAGATGCTGAACAAGGCAAATTATGTCTTATCATCTAGTGGTTCAGTGAATATACAGTGGTGGTTCACTGTATGAAAGATAAGACATGCAAACTTGCCTACTAAAGTAGGTTATCAGTAAACAAACAAACCTGATCATTTTGTTCTTTGATAAACTTCCCTGAAATAATACTAATACGAAAGTTATACAAAATAAGAACTCAATTTTAATTGTGAAATGCTCTGTTTCCAAGAAATATTTTGAAATGTGTTATTGTACACTGCCACCTCCTGGGACCTTGCTGCATTTCAAAAACATCTGTCGCAGATATTAGGACAAAGATCAACATTTCCCAAATCACAAAAAGCTTTAGTAAGGCAGATTATTCCACAACATAAAACACAAAAGTGAAAAAAAACCCCTCTGTCTGTAATCATTCCCTTTTAAGCTTAAGAAAAGCATTCTTTTCAAATACTTTAGAAATAAGTTGGTTTTTATAAACAATCTCTCACCAGAAATACAAAATCTGAGCATCAGCAAAATTCAAGGTGAACAGATCTAGAGATTTTCTGATGAGTAATCAGCCACTGAATGTGTAAACATATACCTTTGTCACAGTTAAAACCACAAAACATATGCATTCAAACCACACATGCACATATTTCCAAGTTTAAGGCTGTTAAAAAGGCAATTCCAGTGGCACTGTCTCCAAGTAAATTTGCATATCCTCCACAAGCTGTCAATGAATGTGATCAAGATTCAATTTTACTAACATTTTTAATGTCACATTTGCAAATACTGAAAGAAGTATGCATATTTCAACTACGACTAAAACAATGCCGATTATTTTCATCTGTTTCCCATTAAACTGACGCTATGGACTCATCAATTTTACAGGATTATTGTTTCTGTCCCCTTTAAGACATACGTATTGAATTGCTATTACACAAGAAGGTATTTTTTCCTTATTTATGCTGCAGCACAGTTAAGTAAAACTGCATGCACTTTCAAAGTAAGTATGTTTAATGACAGTACACAGGACAAATGCAGGCACCAACAACTGCATATTATGAAGTTCCAGTTGCTTAGAAAACCTTTTTTCTGGGAACATTTTTTCCTGAATTCAACTGGGAGAGAAGGTTGCAAGCAGTGATATCCACAGCAACTTTCCCTCTCTACACAGGAAGCTCTCCTCAACCTCTGCCCTGGCCTCTTTTCCTCTACAGCTAAGGAGCAGTGGAAAAGAAAAGCTGTGTCTTTCGAAACTGAGCCCCCCAAATTAAAACATACACACACATGCAAATGCATAGTATCTTCCAGGTGTGGCTCTCAACCTGTGGCTGATCCCTCAATGCACATCACTGGAAAATGACCAAGAAAGCACAAACGTCACTTTGGTTTAAATTCCCTGCACTCACACCTCAGATGTGCCATTTTTCGGGAACCACCATCCAAAGAAAGTCACTCCCCTAAACAGGGCATTTTCCAACCACTCCAGGCCCATGATCTCTTGCACACCTTCAGGCATTCATGTCCCAGGAAAGACCTTGTCTTAAAAAGAGCTCTTTTTCCAGAGATAGAAAGGGCCCTCCTGGTTCCCCCTGCCAAGAAGCACTACCCAGTCGCCCTGGCTGGTGGTGTAACAGCCGCACCCTTGGGGAGTCACACCCCCTGGTTCTGATTCAAAAACCACCACATGCAATGGCAGGAGGGTGGCCACCAGTGGCCCATGAGGAAGCCAGCCGGCATGCCCTGCAGCCTGTCCCTGCCCAAGCACAGCAGAGCACCCCATGCTGGGCAATGTTCCAGGACAAGGAAAGCCCTGAAAAAGAGGAAGAGGATGAGGAAAGATGTGAGAAAAGCGTGTGGCAAGGGGCAGAAGCATTCTGCTGACACCAGTGAATTGAGAAGCAAGATGGCAGATCTAAGCGAAAACACAGAACACTTGCACAGGTACACGGAAACTCATAACCACCCTCATTTCCATTCCCCAGTTATTTAACAGTCAGGCAATCTTTAAAGAAGCAGCTTCTCCACACCTGCAAACAAACTCATCCAGTTCAACAACTCACTGTTACATATTTGATTTTCATGTTGCTAAGAAAAAAAAGCCCATAGTTAAAAAAAAAAAAAAAAAAGTCTACATGTGGCAAATACCAATACAAAAGCAACTTAGGGAAAACAGAAGCATTTCTTACTGTTCTGATTATATGACTTAGACCGTGGAAATAAGAAAATCCAAATATAATGGAATAAAATCTATTTCAAAATTAATTTGCTAGCAAGGTGAGAAAACTGATTTTTTCGCTGCCAGTCCCTTCCTCAGCCTCTACGTGGCAGCAGAACATAGCAATATTCCTTCAAGCACTGATTTTCAAAATCCCCACTTAGAGGGGTATGAATGAAGGCACAAAAGAGCACATATTTTATCTGTGCACCTGCCAAGTCAAGCAGTACTTGAGTCCCATCCTGCCCCTTTCCCTCTGGACGAATGCACAAAGCAAATGAACTTTGAATCCCATGTGGCATCGCAGAGCATCTATCCGCATCGCTCTCCACCCATTAGCAAAGAGATTTGCCAGGCCAAGGCTGCTGAGACTAGACAAAGCACATGCAAGGAAAAAGCAGAGCCAATGATCTTTACTACAGCTTCTAGGCAAAGCAGCTACTTTTCAGTCATTAGTCTGGCATTGCAAATGGAGGCTTCGATCTTCCCCATGTCGGCATACATAAACAGTGCAGAGTTCGCTGACTTCAATGCCATACAGCGGGATGACGCTCTTAGGCTTCCCATTTTTACACACAACAATCTGAAATGTTCCCTGTGACTATCAGGTAAATGTGGAAAATCAAGTACACCTAAGAATACAGCCTTACACAGTTCACAAGGAGAGCAGACATTGAGTACCCTCTATTCATTTCAGAATCTACTTCAAAACACCACTGCTTTTCAAGATTTGTGTAGCACTTACATCCCTGTTACTCCAAGTAGATGACACAAAAGTCCCTCTGTTTAGAAAGAACCTTTTTCTCCACAGCTTTCTCCATTTCTTGCCCTCTGTGTCAAGTTCCAACTTAAATGTCACCTCCTTTCCCCTTACATTTTAACTACATAACAAGATTGCTTAATTCTGCAGCTTTTTGCAGATGAATAAAGTGCACAAAGCATATAGGCAGAAGTGATAACAGGAAAATCAATGCTGAATGAGAAGATATCATCACATTGGTGAAATTAGGCTTTATGTAAAAGCATTACTCTACCTTAAGTAAATCTGAGGCTGCCAGCATAAAGACCTCAATTCTTTACTGGCTTACACCTGTTTTGATCTCAAGCACCCACTCAAAATCAGTGTAAAAAAAATTCAAATCTGGCAGTTTCTCACGCTTGCTTTCTAAATGACTGCTCAAGATGCAAAACAGGGAAGAAGAGAGCTCTTATCTAAAGTTTTAAATAGTTCACTTCTGACATGTTTTGGCTAGGCAAATGAAAAAGAGTGAACATGAAGATATCGTGTATTTGCAAAATGCTGATATGCAGTGAATACCCAGAAAACTATCCGATTCCTTAAAGCAGCTTTTCCAGTCCATAAAACATGGTGATGAGTTTCACTTTCCAGCTGTTGCATTTGTGGTGCAAAAATGAACATAATCAAAACATTCCTGTGCCTCTCCTTCTTTTTCAGAAACACCACATTTGGATGATTAAATCTCTGGTTCGTTCTCTATTTATTTCCTTGTATAGTTTATGCCACACATCCAAGAACCAGTTTCAGAGCCCATTAGTGAGTAATCGACACTTTTATTTTGATTGCCTTATTACTACAACCTTGAAGGAGTTTCTGAAACAAGACACAGACCAGAATAATGTCTTCAGTGTGTTTTCTTTTCTGAAAGGACTTTAGATTCTGCATATGGCTGAAACGCTGATTGGCTGCCAGTGATGTCACGACTGCACTTGTAATACCCAGTAAATGCAGAAAGCTAATTGTGTTCCTTTTTAATGTGTAAATTCTACTCCATAATAGCAATAAGACACAACAGACAATGCACTTCAAGGGGATTACTGTCCCTTTGAGCGATTAAAGCTATTCAGCTTTCAGCTTTAGAAACAGTGGTGAGGAAGTAATTTCAGTCATACAGGAGCTCTAGGCCCATCTATTGAAACGGGCTGACTGCCCTGGGGCAGAGGGAGCCAGCTCACCCCATGCACACCCCCAAATGTGGTCCAGCAAGACCACGGCAGACTGAAGGCAATCATTATACTGCTCTGAATTAGTATGAGACAAGAGATCATGTTTTGAAGCAGACTCTGCTCTTGATTTTCAGACCTGCATGGGTGAGGCTTGAGTGTCCCTTCACAAAGCAAAAAACCAGGTGAACCTCACTCTCTTATTTCTGGCCCCCCACTATGGTTCTTTCTCTTGTACTCTTAAAATCATAGTCCTAGGGAAGGATAACTTAGTACACAAGGAATTAGACTACAACTCAAAAACGGGCCACTTAGTCCAAGACTGGCAAACAACCTTACATGTGCCACAAAATCCACCTTAAGCCACATATTTCCAAGTAGTGAGAAGAGGATAACATTTGTATCTTTGGGGCAACATCAATGCCACCAGCATAATGGGGATATGACCTATTAGAATAAAGAGGTCTGATGACTCCTGATATCTCAAGAAATATTTTTTTTTACCGTCCTGCTGAGAAAGACATCGGGATTTGACACACAAAGCCTCACTCCACACCACAAACCAGTCTCCTCATGACCTGGCTGAAACCCCAGTCCAGTCCACTGAACACTTACCCAGAGGAAGTAGCGCTGTAACCAGTAAGAAATTCACTGAGAGCTTTCTGCCCAGCTCCACCCTGCAGTGAAACTGTTTATTTTGGATTTTTCCTACTGGGGTTTTTTTTCTTCTATCTTCCCACAGCTACCACCATTTCACACGGCCTTCTACATGGTCACTTACCTGTGCTTTTAGCCTTTCTTTATGACAAATTCTTGAGAGGAGCAAGTTAACCTCATGTTGCTTTGATCCCCTTATACTATGTACAAACTTGGTTTATATTGATGCAGCTGTCATATCATATGGTTTTCCACACTACTTCTCTTCCTTTCTGCCATTTCTTTATACGTTTCCACAAGGTCATTGGCATAAGTTCACCAGTACGATTCTTCATCTTCCTAAACAAATGTTCTTCTCCCTTTTTTCACTTCTGTCTTACTCTCACACGCACATCCTCTACTCTCTTCACTTCTCTCTTTTCTTTGCCCTCTCCTTGCCACCCACAGAATTTCCATTTGACCAGTCCTGTCCTCACCCCACCCACATCTACAGAGGTTTTTTTCATTTTATACTCAGCAAGTGTCCTATATTACATTTCTATTCTGAAATCTCACTGAAAATACCAGCATAATCTTGTGTTTTATATTGTCTACCTAGTGGCATTCGCCCTTTCACTTTTCTGGAGTTCAGGGCAATTAGACCTTTTCCATCCTCTTCATACTTTAGTGCAGCTCCAGTAGCATGTCTGTAGTCATTCTTCTCAGCAAAAGCATGGAACCTGTAATACAAAATGAGTTTCCACCAGTACACAAACTACATAAACACTTCCCTAATTTTAAAGAGATTTATGTCACACGTGCAAGAGCATGGTGTACAACTTCAGTATTATTTGCTAATCTATTAAAAATATCTAAACCTTCAACCACAATGAGGTAATGAATATTATCCAACTTCTTATACACATTTCTGTACCTTCTGAAGTCTTCTCATGTAGAACATTCTTTCGTTTGGGTATTACTTGCTCCAAGGCACCTTACTTTTCAATTTCCTGGAAATCTATTTTTAATTAATGCTTTTAACATGCTGAGCAGGCATGTAATTTGAGATGTCTGAGATGACACTAACACCTTTTTATCAGATTATCCTCCCAGTTGAAAGCCTGACAGGAACATTTATTTCATTATCGACATACAAATCAGGATGACAAGCAGACTTCATTTACCCTCACTGTCAAAAGACAGAAGCTCTCAGAGCAGGAAAAAGAAGCATTTCTAAAACAGAACTACATGAGAAAAAGGCTCAAGCCATGAAAAGCCCATGAACTGCACTGCTCCTATGGGAAAGCTGACTTGTAGACAGTTATTGGGCAAATATCTGCCAGTAAGATATTAAATGGCACAGTAAGTCTCTGCAGCAAAGTTAGACTCATGCAAAAAGAGGACAGCAAGAATCATATCAAATGGAACAATTCCTCTCAGCTCCCTGCCACAACACTTTTTGCCTCTTTTTACCATACAAGAAACATTCACTGTCTTTTAATAAAGGAAGTAAAAATTCTGCCAAAAGGATAGTGACTGGCAATGTACCTGGCACCACAGTTCTAAATGACCACAATCATTTTAAACGCACATCAGAACAGAGCAAACATAACACTTTCCCACAGTCTTGTTTTTGGCAGGCACTTCATCTCTTAAAAGCTACTTCTAAACACAGATGGCTATGAAAGAGCTAAGCAGCTGCCATCTTACCAATTCTCTGCTGTCATTTTGGAGATTTCTACTGTTGGAGGTCTTCCCACTTTTGCACAAACAACAGTAAACCAGAAAGAGCTAGCAGCCATTTCACAACTCTTTAACTTTTTGGTAGCTTCTGTTAAGCAGACAAACATCTACTGACTCCTACTGCCCTCCTGCTGTTCAGCATGACTTTGGTATTGTGGGGTTTTATATTCGTTCATTTCTTTTCCTTATTTTGATATGAGAATCAAGATTTAAGTGCTCTTATCCCTTTCTACTGAATGCTGATTTTCACCATATGGCTGACTCCTAGGATAAAGTAGTCAACAAGCCATGTGGAATATATCAGTTTCCACCAATCATACCAAATGGATGCTAGAGAGCATGGTACAGAACTGCTTTTCCACACAACTATGCCAGATGAAGAACACCTCATCAATTTTCTGTTACTCCATGAACCACCCATTTAGGACAGGCGTTTCCTTTTCAGTAAATGTCTGTACGGCACTTGAGCCAAGAAAACTAGATCCTTTTCTGGTGCCTGTGGATACTACCAATGTACAAATAAATACAATAAAAGCTTGGTTTAGTTTACGTTATGAACCTTTCCCCTGAACAATTTTTCAGACTTCAAAAGAGGGGCAGACGACAGACAATTTAGGATATAAAGAGGGAACGGCCTTTCTACAAGCCAGTGAGCACATACATGGAAAAAAGATGGTATGTTTAAGTAGGGCCTGCATTCTAGTCATGTCACTAAGACTATTTCCCCAATTTCCCCCAATCACTCACTGAACTGCTTTGTCTTATTTTCCTCATGGATTATATTCAGATATGTTCTGATGCCATTCCTATCAGCAAAGCACTTTCTGAGTACTGAAATTGTTACTGCCCTTCTTTGTCATACCTGCCAGAGGCCAAGCGGCTCAGTTCCTTCAGGAAAATAATAGTTTCATCTTCCCTAGCATTGAAAGACACAATGTTGATTGGACAGGGGCCATCAGAAACCTTCTCAAGGAGTAGCTGTTTTGTGTCCACTGGAACATCACCCACAGCAAAGTAATAAACGGCTTCAACCTGTCATTAAACAGAAAGAAAATTGGCAACTGGAAGACATTGTTTTACATAAATGTCTGGCATTTGTTCAAGCACTGTCCTGTGCCACATATTGGTAGGAAAAACTGGTAAAACTGATGCATTACTTGAGCGATAAGATTTTTAGACCTTTGCTTCTTCCTCTCATTTATGCTAATAATTCAAGTGAATTCCATACCAAATTTCCTCAAGTGAGAAGAGAACCTGACCCACAGCCCTCGGGTCTGATTCTGCCCAATACAACCCTCTTTCCATAGAAGTTAACTGAAAAAAAAAAAAAGAAGGATAAGGCTCTGTGCCACATCACACTTTGATGAAGAAACACGCTATGCTGGTGTCTTGCCAGGGATGAAAATCTGTAGGAATTTTTATACCAGACATAGTTTTACTGCCAGCATGTATTTTGAGGCTAGGAAAGATGCATTATTATTTGAATGCTACTGCTAGTATTTACAGATATTTTGTATTTTTTAAACTTCCCAAGCAGAGGGAGCTTGGCAGGTTTATATGGCCAAATACACTTATATTCTGAAAATGTTATTGCAAGAAGAGAGAGAAGCTGAAGAAACACCCTTTAGTTATTGATTTTTACATAATGAGGGATTTTATGTTACCTGCACTTACCCATGCTAACAATCCTCATGGTATGTTTCTTGAATTTTCATCATCATTAAAACCAAATTAAACAAACAGCTAACCCACAATGGCTTTCAAGACAATACATAGAGCATATCAGTCCTATGTAATGATACATACCTAAATATCTAATAAATAGTTGCTTAACTGAAAAAATATACTTGAATACTTTCATGGTACAGATCATCCTAAAACTAAGCCAAGGCACATGAAAAATAAGGAGCTGACTGGTGACAGTGAATATGAGTTCACTAAGGGCAAATCATGACTGACAAATCTGGTGACCTACAATGGGATTACTGACCTCATCTACCTGGATTTATGCTAAGCATTTGACACTGTTCTGCAAGACATCTTTGATTCTAATCTGGAGAGACAGGGATTTGATGGATGGACCACTCGGTGGATAAGGAATTGACTGGATGTTGCACTCCAAGATTTATGGTCAACAGCTCAATGTCCAAGTGGACATCAGCAGTAAATGGTGTTCCTCAGGGGACAGTACTGGGACCATAAGTTTATGAATACAAACTGACATGGACTCCTGGATTTCAGGCTTCCTCCCTCATCTACCTTTTGGCACAACTACTTAGGTTGTTCCTCAGCACTAGAAGACATCTCTTCCAAGCAGCAATCCAATCTTGGGCTAGAATAGGTAAATTAGCACCTTGCCACCTTGAATTTCTCTTGGATTTTGTAGAGGGGTGAGGCACTCCATGGGAGGCAGGGCCCACAGTTACAGGCTCCATTTGCTTGGGAGCAAGAAGGTCTGTGGTCAACCAGGTGTCCTAGAATCACTGATAATTCTAGACAAATACTAATGGTAAAGAGAAAAATAGCTGTGCTTCATTAAAATTCAAGATTAACAAAATACTTGTTAACTTTAGACAAAGGTACACAGAAACAAAAAGAAAGAACTCTTGCAACTCTTGCACTTATCTATGTTTTAGTTCAGTTTTACAAAGTTCTCTCTCTGCCTCCTGCAGCTAAAAGCTATCTGAGCACTCACACAGATCTCCCAGATGAGACTCAGTTCTTGGACAATACCAGGTTTCTATCACTTTTGCTGAAGAGGCTCCTGGCCCGGAGGAGTGCATGCATATTGCACAACCACTTTTTCCTGTGTTCCTTCAGATTCACATCTTTTCCACCTCCCTCCTAAGACTGCCAATAATTCATAAAGTTGATGTTCAATAAGAATAGAAATTTTCACGCTTTCTCACACTGCCTGCCTCTGCAACTTTTCAAAATGCTGACATTTGTCGGGCATAGCTGATACAGAACCTCATAAGAAAATTTTAAAAAATTGCTAACCACAGATAATTCACTCAACTTCAAACCCAGCAATGAAATACCACAAAGGAAATGTTCCTATACATTAGTAGGGAAAGGTTAAAACCCTTCAGTTTAGTCTTTCATATTTTGAAAATTGTAATTCATACATTTAAACAAGCAAACAAACTTCATACAAGAACAGGACGGAGAACAACATGAACAGTTCCTCAGTTTTGATCTTGGTGGGGAGGCATGTTTTGGATGGGTGATCCACACTTGGCGGAGTGGCACCTGTACAAAACCACAAGTTAGACACTGTGGATGCATCTGTGGCATGTAGAGCTCAAAGGAGTGCAACCTTACAGAAGAAGACAGCTCATGAGGAAAGGAAATCTAAGGAGTCACCACACACGGGAAGAAAAGGCCAGCTAAAGGAATGACAGGAAGAGCCAGGTATAAGGGGAAAATAAGAGAGATTCTTTTGGAGCAACTTCTTTTGCTGATGCCATTTCTGAGGAATGAGTCATTCATGACAGTTCAGTAAGTAGATAGCTTTTGCCTAGGACTGAATGGGGTCTCCACCAGCTGCAGTACAGTGACATTTGCACTCAAGTGAACTGCCAGTTAAGAATGATAATGACTCTATTTAGGAGTAATTGAAGGGTTTTTTAGTGTTGAGCACCTGCCACAGTTGACTCCCCCAGATTGCCCCGTAGCTCACCAATATTCAGACAAAAATAATAGATGTCATATTATTGGACAGATTTTAATTTCTGTTTATTCAAACAGAGAGCCACCAGGTCCAGTAAGACTTTTTTTCATCCAAACAATACTGAAATCTAAATATGGTCTTTTTAGTGACCCACCAGGAAATCAGTACTATACTGCATATTGAAAATGTTAATAAAATTTATGTAGGAGGCATTTTAAAAAGCAGTCATAAAAAATCTGACTGGTGCACAATTTGTTCTTCACACAAATCCTTTTTTAATATCAGTTTCTAGACATCAAGGTTCATCTGGATAAGAATCCAGCAGCATAGAAACCAGAAGTAACTCAAGCTAAATTTACCTTCTCCTTCAAACTACATCCCAGAAAGAAATTTACAAAGGAGGTAGGACTGGATCTGTGCACAGGGATGGGTGTTAGTGGTAGTTAAAACCAATGATCATACTCTATACATGGTAGGCACAATTTTCAGTTAAGTTCAGGTATTAGGGAACTGAAAAAATGTACATTGTAAGCAAATGTCATAAAATATCTTTTTAACAACTGAAGTGTTAAGTGACCAGCTCAAATGATGGTATATATATTTCATGTCTTTTGACTCTGCTATAATGAATAAAGTAAGATGCTACTTTTAGAAATTAACAGCATTTAACTGCAGGAATAACTGTGCATGGCTTTGTCTCTGTCATGGAAGAAACTCTATGTATAACCTGCCTGGTAAAAAAGGATCTGTGTATCCCTACCATGAGTTAATGCTTACACAAATCTCTCTATTACTATTTTGGATTTTAAATATAATTTTTCATTAGCACGTTGGACACATAACAAA